AAGTAACACTAAAAATACACATGACTGAACTTTCCTAAATCCTAAACTGCAAAAACAAGAGTAAGAGAAATCTTTAAAGGTCAAAACATCAAAACATTCAGCAATGAATACAATAGTAGTACGAGATAATTCTCGGAATGCAAAATCAAAACATTGAACGCCACAAATGTAAATATTATTCCTTTTATCTATCAAACAAAACGATCTATAAAGTTAAGTGTTTACGCTGCCTAGAAATCCTGGTCTCCTTATTTTTAATCAGTTCAATGCCCCCTACATTACTATGATTTCTATGGAGATTTATTCCTTGAATGGTGTATAGTGCTCCGATTAATCTGAATAATTATAGACTTTAGATATCAATTTTCCCTGTCCTTCCAAAGCCATTTTCAATAATAAACAAGGATGAAGAACAAAACAAAATAATGTAGGGACGCATGAGACATTAATAAGTAGTGATCTCGCTTGGGCTTTTTTCAACATCCTAAATTTTATCTCAATTTTTCACCATATTGGCAGGGTGCAAATAGATTTTTAGGTGCACTTTTTCGGATTTCCAAAAGGATGAGGAAAACAGTTTCCCTATTGCTAGAATATCACTAACAAGTATATTGCAATTCGAGTAAAAATGATTTGCTAAAACCGAACTGGCTCACTCTCAAAATCTAAATCAGACTTCATATTCAACACAAGGCATTAATATGCAAAATGTCACCACCTACCATTTGTTACATACACTGAACACCAATGCTGAACACCGTCTATAAAAATAGGGAGGAGAAACACTTCTTGTAGTGACATAATAGCCTTATCTCACAAATTTATTTTCCAATGTGTTTTGAAAACATATTTGAAATCAAAGATGCAAATTACTTGTATTACAGAAAAGCCTAGAGTGAGAGAATATAACAAGAACATTTAATGCAGAGAAAAAATACAGAGCTGTAAAGTATGTTAAACTTAGTGATAACAACTAAAAAGATTATTGGCATTTTTTCTTATTTTCTATGTGCATTTTTTGGAATCTCTCAATATCGTACCCCTTTAAATTTCAATTTGTGAAACATGCACGCTCATAGAGAATAGGGTAACTCTAAATGACAGCTTATTCTCCCTGGTAGTTAAATATCAGCCAATATATTGCTGGGTTCTCTTATGTCACAGTCAATGTGACATCTAAAACACGAATGACATCTAAAACACAAGCCCTTTATATCTATGTACTTCATTAGTCTGCGTTATCTACCAATTGGAGATAATTGAATTTCATATAAATTAATCCATAAAAATGTGACTCATATTTTCTCATTGATCAGCCATGTGGTCTGTGATTTTAAAGACTGTTTTATTTGCAGTATTTGCTTTTTATTGTGACTCATCTCCAATTAATTCTGTCATCTATTATAGGCAGGTATATGTCAAACTCAAAATAAAAATTGCATATATTTCTACAGTTTATACAGCTCAGAAAAACATTTACCGTATTCTCTGTAATTACCGCCCACTCTCTAATAAGCGCCCACCCCGCTTCACAAAGTTCAAGAAACATCGAGGAATCATAATAATCCATAATGAATGAAGGAATTGTTCTTTATCGGCATTCAGAAATTTCAAAAGCTACTGCGCAGAACAGCATGTCAAGGTCGTGAACTTTCTGGTTTCTTTTTAATGTTTCTCGACTTTTACACGACTTTTGCACGAATAATGATGATCTCTCATCAAATTAGAAATAATGTATAACTTTAGATCGATATCCAGCAGTCTCTAGTGGAAATATTGAAGGTAATCGGCGATAATGACAAAGTGGGCGTGCCGGAAATAAATTAGACATAGACGGGTCTTCAACCACTGTCAATATTGTCTAAGCGATCTTTACCGTATTCTCTCCAATAACAGCACTTGTCATATTATTATAAAAATATGTTGAAGAAAATGCATTCTTGTCAAGAAAAATTGCCATACATGAAATTCCTCGGGATTTCTGATTTCTTTCATACATGGGCGCTTATTAGAATGGTCTAAATAATGTATTTTCAATTTTCTAAATGCCCTGGGCGCTAATTACAGAGAATACGGTACCTGTGATCTCCTCGATTTAGAGTAATCAAGTGCCCTAATAAAAATCTGAGAATTAAACACCACCATGTTTAAAATACCTTTGCACCGTGTAAAAATGGTGAATGGTGACATATTTTGACAAAGTAGGTATTTAAGACTTTTCACCGGTTGAGAAAATGTACTGTAAAGCATGTCTAGGGTACAAGAAATTATAACAAAAATTTTCATAATTTAAAATGTTCAATTCAAAAGGATGTTCACTGTTCACACAATGTATATATGTTTTTTTCGAATAAATGAACCATAAAAAAATAAAATAAAACTGTTCACATACATTAACCAAGGTTTTACTGCATATGAATCATTTCTACAGCTGTAAGTTTAAAAATTGTCAGATCTAGTTTTGATAAAAAGTTGATTGTTTTTTTACCTGTATAATGTAAACAATGTTTCAACTTTCAAGATATAAAAATATTTTGAAATGACTAATCACTTTTCTTAGGTGCTAGGCAGTTAGTTACCATGTGCATACAAAGATACTGATTACTGACATATTAAGAGTCAGTAAAGAAATAAACACGGGCATGAAATGATAGTGAAGTTTAAGTTTTAGTCTGTTAATCAAGCAGTTAAAGTGTCAATTCAATCATGGTATATGTACTGCACTGGGCAATGTCCTTAACAAGATTTCTGACTTTGTTTTAAACCTATGTGACCCCCCCACCTTCAATACACTATCTGGTGATGTAGGACTAGTTCTACTTCAAGGCCCTGTACCAAAAGCTTCACACAAGACTAATTTTGAAATTAGAAGCAAAATATAACTAATAAAAAATGCCCAAAACCAGTCAAATGATCTAAACTTATCATGATTTACAAGTTCTAAATCTGAGATAGAAATAATACATGAAGTTACTCCAAAACTGGGGAAAGCACCAGTCAAAACAAACTTCCTTATTTCTTAAAATGTATATTAAGTGCACAATTTTCTTGATCATTTTTGTACCTTCTAGTTAACACATTTTGTTATTTGACAGAAAATGATGCATAAGACACACAAACCTTACTAACACTTCATTACCGTTCTATGAAGTATAGACAATTTCTCTGAAGTACCAGAACTCTCTTTGAAGTACTGAACCGAAAAAAGGTAAGATGCATCAAGACAAGTTGACATTGAGCATAAATAAACAAAATTTCTCCTGCATATTTCACTATTTCAGTGTACGTGTCATATAAATTTTAGCCTGTCTAATATCTAGCTCTTATTAGTGATGAAGGTGCATCAAGTATCAATCTGCACAATATACAAAAGGTTGTAGTTTTTATACTGGCTTTTGGCGAGGGTGTAATTTTGAGTGAGACTGACTTGAAATAATGATCACTTCTTATATGTGAGTCAAGGACTAAATTCTAGCTTTTTTAGTGCATAACTCCTCTATTTTTGAAATCGTTATTACGACTATCATTCTTCTAAAACAAGAGTGCATCAATCATGGGTTATTATGTAGCATGTTACTATATACACAGGTTATTATTAATTATATAGCATGTTATTATATAGCAGGTTATCATATCGCATGATATTATATAGCTTATACAATATACACAGGTTATTATATAGCATGTTATTATGTTATTATATTGCAGGTTGCTATATAGCATGTTATTATATAGTGAGTTATTATATAGCAATAGGAGGCTATCATATTGCAACAACATGGGTATTCTGTGGTAAAACATACTAAAACTTTGATGAAGCTGTTTCCTTGCTTGCCTCTTGCCTCAGGTAAACCAATATATATTTTATTAATTGGATTAGACTAGATTACTGATTAGATAGTTTAGCATGACAGATAGGCGTTATAATCATTTATCAGTAATAAATTAGCATCATGAGTCTAGGTTAGAGCAGGCTTGTATTACTATTGCATGTTTCTAATCCATGATTTGCAGATCTGTATATTAGATCAATGTTACAGATGATCTACAATTGTATACGTATCTCAGGCCCGTAGCCAGGAGGGGTTCGCAGGGTTCGGGCGAACCCCCCCCCTGGCCAAAAATTCTTTCAAAATCATGCAGTTTTTCACCATTTTGGGCACTTCTCAAGTGATTTTAGCCATATTTGGGCCAAAATTGTCAAATGTGAACCCCCCCTGGAAATTTTTGAAAAATGAACCCCCCCCCTTGGCAAATCTTGGCTACGGGCCTGTATCTGACAAATTTTAATTTCAGATTGGAATATCGAAAGTTATTTCGTTATATGTGAGATGTATGTTCAAGTAGTCAATTATTTTGTTGTTTCCTCGCCTTGGACAGTACAGCTACTGGTCTAGCCTTGTATACATATTTTATTGAGGTAAAGTGAACACATTAACAGCCCAAACTCAAAAGTATGATGTTAGGAAATTTTGTAGATAATATAGTCTGTCGCGTACTTCGTAATAGACTGGCTGTCATGGGCGTAGCACTATATTTCTAAGTAACACGCCACCACGGGAACAAGAGTTGTCGCGAAGCAAAAAACGAGTGTTTAGGAAGGTCTGGGGAAGGTTTAAAATTTGCTTGTATTTTGATCGAATTTGCAACAATCTGGTATGCCTGCGTGTACCAGGCGCTACACCTATGACTGTCAATATCGGATCACAAAATAGACCTCTGACTAGACCCTCTAGTCTATGTCAGTGCCAAGGCTACTAAAATGTCAAGAATGCAACAATGATCCATTTACACATGTCACACTATTGCATTATCATTACTATTATTTAGACATTCAGCGATTCAGAAGCCTTTTTTTAAAATCAGTTTCATATCAGAAAATCATGATGATCATGAAGGAAAAAATAATTTATTTTGAAATGAATGATCCAGAAAATAGCGGATATCTACCCATCTTGAGGAGCGATTTTTCTGAAACTACAGCAGAATGGTTTACATACCTTGGTATACAATTTGGGGCAGTTTTCTCGACCTCCCATGTCGCGAACAGCTTCATTGGGACCGGTTTTATGCCCGGTCCCGACGTCCGACCTCCTTTATCCGCCATTAGAATATTGATTAATGCGCATGCGTTGTGACCCTAATGTCAGCCTAACCTTGACCTCAAAATGTAAACAAGGCCACGTGCTTTGTACTGAATGACAACAATGAGATCCAACCAGTTTTCTCCATCCTTGAATAAGTAGTTTAAATTAAAACTACACAACGTGTTTGCACATGCAAGTAGCCTTAACTTCAGTGATAAATGATAATCGATTATGGATTATTGTTTTGACTTATTCATCCCTGAAAGCCAATGGGTTGACATGCACAGCCAGGATCCAGAAGGCAAGAAAGCCAGTGAACACTATTTAAGGATTTACTCCCAGGACTCAATAAATTGTAGATGCTTTCAAGCACAAGGGTCAGGGGCGTAGCCAGCTTTCAGTCATGGCGGCGGGTGCGATCCCCCAAAAATTGGTTTTCAGTCGCGGAGGAGTGTGATTGTGGCATAAACAAACACAAAAATTAAGATTTATCTTGAATTTTACAAAATCTTTCTTCAAAATTGAGCTAAAAGCTTCAAATAAAAAGCATTTTAAAGCTATTTTCTTCTATCTCATGGTTATATTTTAATTAGTTATGGGGGGGGGGTGCGATCCCATCACATCCCCTGGCTACGCCTATGAGTGTCTAGGATAAATCCAGGAGGGAGGTAGCCTGAATTAAAAGCTATACAAGATGCAAGTGTTTTGAATCACCTGCATTTGTACATCTGATTGAAGCTCTGTTGGTTTTGGGGTACTTCACCCATAAATGTAGGGGAAAGGATCGATTGCAAAATGGTGAACTGAATTGTGCAATTACAATATTGAGAGACCTAAAAAGTTGTGTTTATGTCATTTGGTTCCAAAGAGGTTGGGACATGTGGGATAGATGTTTCATTTTTTCTGAACATATGGTACCACGAACAAAAGTGTCTGATGTACTTTCTAATACCATATGTAGAAAAGTAGATATTTTTTCAAGTTGAGTAGTAATAACAAATCAACAAATTATCATAAAATTGACGATGTGTATTTTTTTCAGAATTTTTTGATGTCTGGTTTTAGAGAAACATGAGTTCAATTTAATTCACCATGTCGCTACCAAGCCTTTGTTTTTCTTAGTAAAAATGCAAATCAACCCCCATATTTACGGGGGTATGGGGTAGATACACATAGAGACACACGGGATAATAAACAAGGATACAACAATACAATTATTTTCAAAATATTTATTGTTATTTACACTATACATGTACATGCATTATACGTGGAGTATTATTCTTTAGGAGAAATTCCTAATGAAATACATAAATGATAAATAATTTGAAATAATTATATGAATGTTCATAATGTGATGGTCAACAATGTACACATTTGAACATCATCTCTTAGTTTTATGAACAGCAAGCACCTAACAAGTCTGACTAAATAAAGGGATTATACTCAGGTGGCTCCAATCATATAGACAAGGCCTGCATCCCCTCCAAAAGCTCCCATTTGGACACTGCCAAGACTTTCATACAAATTATGTTCCACAGCTGATCAGAGTAAGGAAAATGGCCAAGTGAAATAATTGCCCAAAGTACAAGTACACTTCCAGACTAAGAAAAAGAAGACTGACTGTGGTTGTTTTATTAAGAAATTTTGAAAGTTTTCTGTAAATTAAACTTTTAACTGAGCCCTTCATTCACTTCTCATCTGCTTATTAATATGGCAGCCAGTATCATTGAATGCACACCTTTAGATCAATCATAAGTGATTAGATTAACAGATTCCCAAAAGGGGAACGTGTTGTCCACTATGCAAATGAAAATACCTAACTAACTACAGTATAAATTGGTAATGGTATAACACTATGATATGTTCCTTCTTTTCTTCTTCAAGGTTACATCTTTGGGTATTTCATATGTCAGGGGTTTCATTAGCAGCAGGCAACAGGCGATTTTCACCAGTTATTTTCACAAAATCGCCTGTTGTTTTAGGGACTTATTCAACCGTTTCATGCTAAATTTATGATTTCCATTAATATTGCCTGTTTTTCATTTATTTATCCTGTTGTGAGAAACTCTAGTGAAACCCCTGTATGTGCATTTTATAACTGGCCTATACAATCCCAAGTACCAAAGGAAAATATTTCAATTGTATTGTCAGTCTATTGTGGCCTCAATTTGATTTAAATACTCATCGTGAGGTAAATATAGAAAGTTGAAAACAGTGTTATCGTAAGTCCTTGGGGAGAGAAGGTTCTATTTTCCAAGATCCTCAAGGGAAGTTGATTGTTTCGAGAGATTTCCAGAGTTTGTTTTGGCATTTTACATATTTATTACACTCTACAGGTTAATCTTCTTCAAATTGAAATGACACGACAATTTCTTATTTCCCTTGCCATTGCCATGCATATTAACGAGTTAACAGGGTTTTGGTTTTTCCTATGTTAGACATCCTCAAATCACAGGGCTTCAAAATCCAGAATATCTTCTTTCTTTTACCCCTGCTATAAGCAGTTAGCATTTCCCCGATTAAGAACTCGCAATTTGATTCGCTGTCGCATACGTCATCGGCGCATAATTAGATCACACGATTCAGTTTAATCGGGCGCTTCCAACATGGTTATAGCAGGGGGAAGAAAGAGGTATGGATTCTGGACACCTGCTTAGGAGGATGTATGTTAGAGAACCAAATCTTATTGATTCCATCCAAAGTGAAATGTTCCACAACGTACCATTCCGAAGATATGTCGCTCCTTTATAATATAGAGTCATCCAATGACAGACAGTCACTATTGCAATTAATATTCAGATTTAACTTCAGATTTTCAGTCCATTTACATTGAATCCGGTTAAATGTCCAGTAAGCCACCACATGAAAATTGGTTGAATTCCTGCTATAAAAAGCAAGATATATGTCCGTCTTTTGTTTCCAGTGGCTAGGCTATCTGGGTCAGAATGAGGCAAGACTTGGACCTTTAGTGTACGTATCTGAAACAAGAACATTGAGTAGATTACATTGAGTAAATTCAATGAGTGGAAAGTCTTCTAACAATTTCTTCAATATCATTTTTAAAAAAGGTACAAAATCCAAATTTTAACGGGTCCAATCGTCTTAATAAAGACTGATAAATAATCAGAATAAAATAAGATTTCTGCATTGGAATAAATAAAGTTTGTTAAAATTATTCTTTTTTGACATTGATTACCTAGCCACTTTTATATAAGATATATTAATATTTAAAGCAACATTGTCACTTTAAATAACTACTTACCAGAAAGAATACAATAGTGCAGCTACAGTAGATGAGGACTAGATAATATCCCCCAGAGTGGAAGAAAAGGCCAGCTATAAGACTACATATCATTCTGAAATGTACAATACAAATGTTAAATAGGACTAGATAATATCCCCCAGAGTGGAAGAAAAGGCCAGCTATAAGACTACATATCATTCTGAAATATACAATACAAATGTTAAATAGGACTAGATAATATCCCCCAGAGTGGAAGAACAGGCCAGCTATAAGACTACATATCATTCTGAAATATACAATACAAATGTTAAATAGGACTAGATAGTATCCCCCAGAGTGGAAGAAAAGGCCAGCTATAAGACTACATATCATTCTGAAATATACAATACAAATGTTAAATAGGACTAGATAATATCTCCCAGAGTGGAAGAAAAGGCCAGCTATAAGACTACATATCATTCTGAAATATACAATACAAATGTTAAATAGGACTAGATAATATCTCCCAGAGTGGAAGAAAAGGCCAGCTATAAGACTGCATATCATTCTGAAATATACAATACAAATGTTAAATAGGACTAGATAATATCTCCCAGAGTGGAAGAAAAGGCCAGCTATAAGACTACATATCATTCTGAAATATACAATACAAATGTTAAATAGGACTAGATAATATCCCCTTGAGTGGAAGAAAAGGCCAGCTATTAGACTACATATCATTCTGAAATGTACAATACAAATGTTAAATAGGACTAGATAGTATCCCCCAGAGTGGAAGAAAAGGCCAGCTATTAGACTACATATCATTCTGAAATGTACAATATAATTTTTAATATACAGGGTGACCAAAAGTTGCAAACCCAATTTGAATTTACTTTCTCAATAATGGTAGAATCTTCTTGAATTTTCCAATTAGACAACTCTAAAAGGATATTGCACAAGTGTTTCAGAGTGCAACACAAAGTGTAGTTGATATATTAATCCAGGGATTATCTATAACCTTGAGGCATCGTAGAAATCATTAACATACAAAATGTCACCACCTGCCATTAGTTACAGATGCTGTTACATAAGTTGTTACAGATGCTGAACACTGTCCACAAAAAGAATTATAAATTTTTATAGTTTTATACTTTAATTTAATAATGATTTCTGATTACTATAATTTAGATCATGAGATACAGTTTGGCAAGGGTTTTTCACCCTATTTCTTCATTTTAGGATATATTTGAGGTGGAAATACATTAAGAAACTTACCCTACATATTTATATCCACAGAAGGCTAAGAGATCTAAATACTTGAGGTCTGTGGACACATTCATGATGTAGAGTGTGAATAGGATTACTAGGATTTCTATGATCAACCATACTAAGGCTGAACTGGCTTGCATCCCTAGCTCTTCAGGGGCAAACCTGGAGACAAAAAAAGGAAAATATTAAAAGAAAAATTCACAAAATTTAAAAAGGTGTCAATCTAGCCAAATTGCAATGACATTTTAGATCGAAGCACAATCTGAACTTTCATTTAGCATTTATCAAAGAAGTGTTTTCCCCTATTCTTCAATTATCTACAAGTCTCATTGAAATGAAAAATTTTATGTAATAATCTTTTAAAATTATAGTTAATCTAAAGTATCATAGTAGTATTCATTTTGCTTGTAATAAAGATACCAATGTAACATGTCACTTACATGCTTATGTCATGTCACATATGTAATGTCACACCCTGGTGTCACATGTCATACAAAACTTACTTATCTTGAGTTCCTAGGATAAATCCAGCAAGCAGTATGTATGTTACAAATGCCATCACAGGGATATAGAGATCGGGGGCGTTGATTTCATATCTAGGCGCTACAGGTTCATCCTGGCTGTATTTTATGGACCAATCCTAAAACATTGAATAATATATAGGTCAATGTTTTATTAAACTGTCTGTCTGAAGGGAGTTGAAATACTCAAACCTGATTGGCCAAAGGGGAGTCAATAGTTTTGTTTGTTGATGGCACAATGCAATACTGGTAAATAGTGTAGGTTAATCACAACATTGTTACAAAGGAGCAGAGAAAAATTAATGGGGATGATGAACATTAATTAAATAAATATCAAAATGTTTTAATAAGCTTTACTTGACATCTTATTAGACTTACTACAATCTCAGTTCACAGTGAAAGGATACAATTTTTCCAGTCTACCTCTGGCCAGGTAAATAATTTATGATGTATTTTTTCACTAAGACCACGTAAATGACTTACAGAATGTGTAAAGGGGAATAGTAGTAATGCTATTTTCTTCCCAACATATGATGTATCTACAGCGAAGTAATACTTTAATCTTGACTTTGACATATATTTTTCCAGCTGAAAACAAACAAACAAACAAGCGTTTATATAGAAGGCTATTTGATCAATAAACCAGCATTCATGTAGTTTGAGTAATAATCCTCTTTTAATGTCAGCATTTGAATAGTTGAAGATTTATCTATTTTAAAGTTACAATTCTCTCATTCAGTCAAATGAGTTATCTTTCCAAATAATACATTTAAAATCATTGATATTATATTTGCACTTTGTTTGCTTAAAATATAAGACACTTCGCAATTGATTCAACTTCTGATGACACCCCTATGAAATAAAACAAATGTGATGATATATAGTCATAACAGAGTAATTCAGTGACTTCACACTGGCTTTTATTTGAATAACTTAGCTCAAATATTGAAGAAATCAGAGATCCTTCTCTATTTTATCAAGTTCAGGGGCTTTACTAGAATTTCTCACAAAAGGCAAAAAAGTGAAAACAACAAGCAAAATTAATGGAAATCATAAATTTAACGTGAAAAAGTTGAAAAGTCCCTAAAAACAACAGGCGATTTTGTGAAAACAACCGGTGAAAATCGCCTGTTGCCTGCTGCTAATGAAACCCTTGAAGTTGATGACCTCATGTGGCCAATGATACACAGGGGTAAAATGATCATAACTTACATTCTGTTGGACGTATTCCTTTCCCTGGCCCGCAAAATTCTGTCCGTACTGTACGGCCATATTAGCCATGGGGTCACTCATGAGATTTTGTGGAGCAAACGGCTGACTCATTCCGTGCGTCGGACTACCAAATCCAGCTGACTGGTCAAATCCTTGGGGTGGAGCTAAAATAAAATGTATTTACTTTAGAAAGATAGCAATTCAACTTTAAAGAATCTGTTCAAATTTGCTTCACCAATATTCACTGACTTAAAACTTAAAAGTGTAAGAGAATCAATTTCTATAACTCGCAATTTATTAATTCTTTAAGAATATACAAAATCTTGGGCTTTTTAATTGTGAGTTAATGTTATCAAATGTTGTTGATTAAACACAGTATAAATAGAAAACTTTAAAAACTGGTAGAAGACTTATACATATTTTATACATATTTACACATGAACCCCATAAATCTACTTAAAAATGTCATGCTTGAAAAAAACAAATCTACTAAAATGTGAGACTTGAATTTTTTTAAATAACTCACAGGAGACTTATATAACAAATGAATCTACATGTACTCATACAATACATATGAGACTATTTGAAAAAAATCTATAATGACATATCAAAAATAAAATAAACAAAAAAATATTTACATTGGAAACCATGCTGCGCTGGGTCAAATGCTTGGGGTGGGGCTACAAAATAACAACAACTACATTACAAAGCAAAATGTCACCACCTGGGAAGTTACAGCAAATTGTTACAAAGGTGTAACACAGTGTTACAGATGCTGACTTTGAATGAGAAATAAAAATGGTGACAACAAATTGTCACTACTCATCACTTCTGAGTGTTGACATAAAAAACACAAAAATTAGTGATAAAAAAATCTAAACTCAATGACAAAATAGTTTTTTAATTCCAAAATTGTTAATACATCAGCAAAATATTAATGTTACAATTCCTTATGACAGAAGTGTTGAAAATGAATAATTACGTAGTGCTTGTGCAGGATGCTGTAGCGGGTCAAAAGTTTGGGGAGGGACTACAAAATAATCAAGTATTATAAATAAGAATACTTAAAACCAACAAATCTTGAGTAAAATAGATAATTTAGTAAAAAAGGAGGTGTGTTAGATTTTAAATATGGTGATACAATATAAATATATTGAGGTATTAATAATAAATCATAATGGTCAGCTTTATTCCACTGTTTTTCTCCAGAATTTCCTGGGCATAATTCATCATTTTTTCACATTATTTTTAAACATTTTAGCGAAAAATTCGTTGTAGTATTCTTTATTATTTAGTTTTAGCTGACCATAATGACTTTCCAATAAATGTGAGCTAATCTAATACTAGAATAAACAATCAAAGTGTTCTTCCCAGAATATTTCGTCAAGTGGGTGCAAGATTTCATTTTCTCAACTGTGTGAAAAAATGCAAATATGTGGATGCAATTGGGATTTCATCAGTGCAAGCCTATTTCTAAAATATCAAATGGATGCAACGCCCACTTGCTTCAATACTGGGAAGACCACTGTTACATGATATATATCACACGGGACAGACACATATTCCCCACATTATGGTTACCTTGACTACCAGGGGGTGGATACTGCTGCTGCTGACCCCCATAAGGTGGTTGTTGACTTGTGTCATCGAAAAGTTGCGGATTCTGATTTGGTGAAATCTTCTTTCCACGTATTCTGCTTGGCTTCCCTCCACCACCAGTGGAACCAGCTGGAAATAGCATATAGCATGGATATGTTAGTAATATTATATAACTTTATTTAAAAAAAAGAATGTAGCACCCTTGAAACTTGTAGACAAGCCGACAGCAGATAAAATTTTAGGATATGAAGTCCAAAATGGCCACCTTAATATTTACCCAGAATGCCCAAAAACTAATCAATTCTAGACTTTCCTACATAGAAACATCCCTGAAAACTTCAGATGAATCCCTCAAATGGTTTGGCGGGAAACCTGTTAATGAGACTTATAAGGATGCTCATCTACCCAACTGCCCACCCATCCACCCACCTGGCATATTGTAGCAACCTTACATTAACTTCCCCTTTCTTAGACTTCCTATTGTTTAAGCCTTCATAAGGGAAGGCAATGCAGAAACATGCAAATTAATAGCAATTTATATTTTATGTGATTTGGTTGGTTACAACATAAGGTATAATAAAGGAATAAAAACCAAGATTCTATGATTTATAGAGCAATATATGACCAATGATTTTTTCTGATCATTAAAATCGCAGAGAAATTGAGGTATTTGGCAATAGGCACAACAAAATAAGATGTCATATATTTGCCTTAAATCATAGAATCGAGATCTTTGTTACGATTCTAATATGATAAAGAAAGCATAAAAACAATGTTTTGCTTTCATTGAATTAAGTGATCATGTATACCCTACTATAGAACAGTAAATCAATTGTTCGTGTTATTGTGACATCACATATTGCATATTAGTTCAACAAGTTAAACCCAATACCACGGCTTTCATTTTAATATAAATCTGAATGTTCTTATTGCTGTGATTGGGTTTAACTTCCGTGCTATGCTTTCATTGGTTGCAAATTCTCACTATAAATTATAAATTAAACGCGCATAAAATTTCATGCGCTGCCATTGGCCACCATTAAATTTTTTGCATCAAGGGCCAAATAGGCACAGACGTTAAACCTAAGGCGGGCCACAAGATATGTCAGATAAGAAATAAGGCCCAGACTACATGTAGGTTTAACTTGTTGAACAAATTGCATATCAGAATAATCTATGTATTTATAAAAAAAATGGAACAACTAAGCTATTGTGCGGATTAAGAAATCATGCCAGCAAATGTATGGTATATCTATATCGTTCAAAAGGTCTGAATTCTTTTACGGGGACTTCAGAAGGGAACAGGATAGGCATTTAAACTGCTTAAATCTGGGTCAAAGGTTTTAACTGTGACTGACATAGACATGCTTAGATCAATAGCCAATAAATTATGTCTAAATTTGTCAGCTCAGTAAGCATCAGCAAATGAAGAAAATTCTTAGCGAAACCATGCTCTCAAATAATAACTGTATAGATTCCACAAAGGGATACACAAAGGTATGTTTGACTTTATTCTGTTTATAAATAGCAAGCGAAGAGAAGCAACGGTGAAAATCAAACAAATACAAAATCGGGGGCACCAAAATCGGCTGGAATCTTGATGCAAGGCCGGAATACACAGACAGCCACAGAATAAGGTAAGACCCATCCTGCTTACTAGATATAAGTTGGGTGCGAGAATAATAATTTGACAAGCAGGATACATGCAGAGGATGATAATTCAAATTCACACATATAAAAATGACAGATGAGAGACCAGGGGCAGACTTCAAAATTTTCAAAAATGAAAAACAATTTCAAAGCACAACCTGGCGTAACACTTCAATCCAACACAATATCTATGGAGTATTTTGTTCCAACGTACACTTACGATTACGAAATCCCGACGGTGCATCCATCGTGTCTTTATGAGGACGGAGGTCTGAGGAAACAGAGTAAATGTGTGAATATTTCCAGAAAAGTCAAAATTTAACAGCCTCGATTTCGTTTGCCACGAAGCTTGATGGTCTAAAAGTCAAACGTGTTTCAGCATGATGGTGAAATGTTTAATTAATGAATTAACAAATGAATGAATTTAAATGAATCATAAATATCTTATTAAACTATAAAAACAACGACAAAAGTCTGTGTGTTACAGCAACAATGAAATGATCACGATTTTAAAATGTATTTTTCATAATTTCGTTTTCTACAAAGTTTGACATTGGTGGTTGGTAATTTAAAAAAAAAGTTTGTCCAATGTTCTGACTCTTATTATAAATTTCCTATCCCTAGACAGGTACTGCAAACAACATTTGCAGACAAAACAGTAGAAAACGTATACTTACAACTTCAGACTCCTCCATTAGACTACTTGCTGTCACTTAAAAAAGTATGGGATCTAAGGCAAATGGAGAAGAGGTAGATCTAAATATTTTTCTAGGAAATGTATCAATTATCACCCACGGCATGAGATTTTAACATCGGTAAACGAAATGATGCCATCATGTGAAAATCTTTTAGAAAATACCCAATGTGCTTTTCTTGCATGTCCTATCTCAGGGAAACATTTTTTTATCTAGTTGTATCTCATGTCATCTCGGTGAATTCATCTCAGATAAAAGGGCCAACCTTTTTTATCCACCGTCTCTAATATCCAAGCAAATACCAATGGCGCTGTTTCCACAGTGTAATCAAATTGTTAGATTTTCTAAATAATCAGATATTATAATCAGTCATTTCCAGAAATTGAAGCGACATCCTCAAATTTAGACGATGGCCATGATCGCATCACCCTGATAACATTGTACAAACAAAATAATTTCAAGAGGCTACCTTCACCATCTTTTATTTGTAATAATTTGTTAATAAAATCTTTTCACTTATTTCATTTATAGGCAGAATTTAGAACTGAATCTGATTCATTTGGACCTCTTCGAGTCCCCAATGACAAATATTATGGCGCAAATACAGCACGATCGATGAAAAACTTTGAAATAGGTGGAGAAAGTGAGAAAATGCCAGTAAGTAATAATCACCAAATAGTTACTGAAATTGAAATGTTTTTTGATCAGACCTGTTTTGACTTTTCTGTTGGCCAATAGGCAAATTGTAACTGATTGTATGTGTCTGACAGACTTTTATAATGACCTGACCTATTTTTGTAGTTAAATCTCATCACTTGAAAATCAATTTTTTAATCATTAAATGATTCTAAAACAGCCCAGGCTGCACAAATACAATTGATGATGTCTTTGTTATATTGATTGTGATTAGCTTGCTGCATTCATGTTCTTTGTGTTTGGAGAAACCTTTGACTAATGAAAAAAATAGATTTGGAAATGACAATTATGTTCAGGCAATTTTGATGGGGTGGTTGGTTTTCCAATTTTTACGCTTTCTACTCTACTGTCCAACAGATTTTAAAAGTCTACTTTGATTGACTTATTCTAATCAAGACCCTATATCAGGGTATAGTTATCAGGGCACGCCCTAAGGGCCGGTCATTACCAGGTTACTTTTTATACTGACCAGTTAATTTTTTCACAAGGTATAGGAAAACAACATTGCAACTGGTCCATGATGCCATTTTGACCAGCAGCTCTCAGATCCTTAGGGCATACACTGATACTTAAGATAAGTTTTCTGGAAAGAGGAGGGCACCCTCTGCCTCTGCCCTCCCCCCACCAAAAAAATAGGAAAATATGAAATTTGAAATTTTTAAAAGATTATTGTTTGATTGACTCAAACAAATTCAAAATGGCCATTAATTACCAAATATTATCTTATTGTAGACCATTTGGACCTAATATATAATCTCAATACTCTTTTTTTTTTTCTTCTTTGGCTGATGCTTTCTTCTATTTTTTTCTCTGTTTTTAGGAACTTTTGCCAGCCTATCATATTAGGTCTCCTTATTTTCCTTTTACATGTGTTTAGGAATATCTTTTGTTTCAGGAATAGATGTTCGTTTTCTGTTTTTCCATCTCCGAAAAGGAATTTCTCAATCGTGGGTACATCTTCGTCAAGTTGGTTGAAAGATGTTATTAGGAAGTCTTGTACGGCCTCACAATGGTATATTCCATGTTCTAAAGTATCTATTTCACTACGGCATAGACTGCATATATCAGTGTTATAGCCGTCTATGTTCATTTGTTTTAGCTGTTTGTTATAGTATAGTATCCGGAAGAATATTTTTATTTGGAAATATTTCTCTTTTGTCCTGAGAATATTTTTTCTATTTTTGTGGATTTTGGCCCACATCAATGGATTTTGTAGTTGCAGTTTGTTTTGCCACTTATCTTCCATCTTCTTTGGCAGTTTCACAGCATTGTTCTTTTTTAGTAAAATCTTGTAAACTTCTTTATTGTTTGTCTTTTTTAACCATTCTGTGTTAATTGTGACATTCGGATTCTCGGTTTCTTCTTCATTTTCTCTTGGGTGTCTTAATTTTCTTTTCCAATTTTGGGGGATGGCTGTAATTATACTGTTATATTTCAAAGTATTCCTTTGGTTCATAACAATATCATATTTATGGCCTAATTCTGCTGCTGTGAGGAATCGATTTTCGTCCTGGATGTCTTTTATAAATTCAATACCTTTTTGTATCCAAACTTCGTTTTTCATGATTTCTCCATTGATTTTTATCTGTTCATTGTGCCATAATGATTGTTGCTCTGGGTTTCTCGTATCCGGAATTGTTTGATATTTTAGACTGCACCAATTTTTGTAGACTGTCTTCAGGTACCTTAAGTCTAAAACATTTATTTTGTCACTATTTTTTGAAAGGTTCAAAGCCCATACTTCTCCCTGCGTCAGGTTCTTCAGGTAGTAGTTCCATATCTTCTTCCATTTGCCACTATATGTAGGGTCTATATATTTCTTTATCCATTTGATGCTTAGGTTTTTTATGTATGATTGTAAGTGGAGCATGTTTAGGCCACCTCTCTCTTGTTCGTTCATCATTATCTTTCTTCCAATTTTGTCTGGCTTCTCATCCCATATAAAGTTGAAAAACATGTTTTCTATTACTTTGATAAAGTCATCTGTTGGTGTGAGCACTGTACATAGATATGTCAGCTGAGATACGAGGAGTGATTTTATCATTATTATTTTTCCTAGAGGTGTGATGTTTCTACTTTTCCATGCTCTAATAAGTCCTTGAATTTTGTTTCTTTTCTCTGGGAAATTTAAACTGTTTATGTCTCTTCCATCTAAAGGAATGGTTATACCAAGGACTTTTATATCTTTATCTTGGTATTTTAGCCCTGATGCCATGCTTTCATCTCTTACTTGTTGCTGTAATAGTGCATTTTCTCTGCCTATCACGGCTTCTTCTGTTTTGTGGAGATTGATGTTCAGTCCTGAGATTTCTCCAAAATTTCTGAACTTTTTAATTACTTTTTTCGCGGATGCAATATTTCTTACAAAGACTGATGTATCATCGGCGTATTGTGAGATCTTTACTTCTCCATCTGGTATTTGTATGCCTTCAATTTCTTCATCTCTTCTGATTGATTCACTCAATATTTCGGCACATAGAATAAATAAATACGGACTTAGGGGGCATCCCTGTCGTACTCCTCTGTTCAGGTTAAAGTAGCGTGATGTATACCCGTTATTTATTACTGAGCTTTTTGCATCGTTGTATATGGTTTTGATCCATTTTCTAAAGTCTGGTCCAAAATTGAAGTAATCTAGCGTCCGATCAATAAATTTCCATTCCACTGTGTCAAAAGCTTTTTCAAAGTCGATGAAAAGCATTATGCCAGATTCATTGTTTGATTTAAGGTATTCCATACAGTCTATTATGAGTCTAATATTTTCTGATATATTTCTCCCTTTAATAAAACCTGTTTGGTCTTCGTTAATTATTTTTGTTAAATGGGCTTTCATTCTTTCTGCTAGACATCCTGTAATTATTTTGTAGTCTGTGTTTAGCAGTGATATTGGTCGCCAATTTAATAGGCATAGAATGTCACGGTCTTTTTTAGGTAGTTGGGTTATAATGCTTCTTTTTTGTTCGGTTGATAATTCTCCTTTATCCAATGCTTCCTTGTAGCTTTTTACCAGTATTGGCACAACTGGTTCTTGGAAACATCTATAAAATTCGCTTGTTAAGCCGTCGCTACCTGGTGACTTCCCGGTCTTCAGGGACTTGATCTGTGTTGTTATTTTTTCTAAGGTAATATAGCCCTCGCAGCTCTGTTTTTCCTCTTCTGTGAGACTGGTGATTGATTTTATAGCAGGGAAGAATGTTTCTGAGTGCTGCCTAATGTTTGGGAGCCTGCTTCTGTACAGTTCTTCATAGAACCTTGCACTTTCTTTCCTTATTTGTTCAGGATCATTAAGTTCCCTGCCATCGTCCGTATTCAGTTGTGTGATGTTCTTTTTTGCAAAATTTCTTTTTTCTAACTTCAGGAAGTAACTAGATTGTTTTTCACCTTCTTCCGCCCATCTTATTTTTGCTCGAAGTATTGCGCCCTTTGCTTTTTCATCATTCATCTCTTCTATCTCTCTTTGGAGTTGTTGTTCTTCTTCTCGTAGCTGTGTTTCATGGATGTAGTTATCTCTTAGGTTTGCCTCTATTTCTTGTAGCCGTCTTATTTTGTTGGTGATATCTAGGTGTTTTCCAGCGTTTTTTTGCTTAGAGTACCTAATGGACTCTGTTTTGATTTTGAATTTTATGAGTTCCCATAAATTTTGAGCAGTCATGTCCTTCATGTCCTCATGTGCTCTTCAACCAAACCTCTGATTAGGTTTTTTATCAAAGCTCAATACTCTTAAAAGCTCATGGTAAAACTTATCCATCCTTGCCGAAAAGTGCCAATACAGATTCAGAAAAATCTTAAATATATTATATTCATTATATGTGGAATTGTTAATGTCACAATCAAGCATGAAAGGGCTTCAAGGGCTCTCGCCAGAAAGTACAGGGTGACAAAAAAAGTGCCACCCACATAATACTACATAACCTTCTTTTTGTCTGCAGGAATTTTGACTTTATCTTTAGGTCAACTAGATGCACTTTTATGAGTGTTACAAGATGTGCTCGCTCTAGATGTGGTGCGTTCCTTTGCAAGTACACTTCTGGATTCTACTGGCAAAGTTATTGACCACATATGGCTTATAGGAACCCTCCAAATTTTCATCTCTGGGGGTCCTTGAAGATCATGTATATGAAACACACCCTAAACATGAAAGATCTAAAGAGACAGATCAGAGCCTTTTTTGTGTTGGGGCCAACAATAACTTTGCCCGTAAAATCCAGATGTGCCTGACATTGAGCTGAGAGCACATCTTGCAAAGCTCATAAAAGTGCATCTAGTTGAGCTATTCATCTGACACTCCTTGTGTAGTTGCTCCATGGAGTTTAATTTTATTACTGTGCAAAAGAACAAGTCAGAAATCATGCAGACAAAAAGTTATGCAACATTATATGGGTGGCACTTTTTTGTATCACCCTATACTTGGTGGAAACATCTTCAGCATAACAGTTCAATCGTGATAAGTCACATGCGTTATATTTTATCCTTTTTGCATGTGTTATTATTTATTATGTCAGATTTAGACTGTAGAAACAATCATGATTTGCCAATAGGTTGCGGTGGGAGCTAAATAGACTCATTTGACTGTGGTGCTGCTCCACAGTCTAAAAGCCTAGCGAGAACATTGGCTTCATTATACAACAGTTACTGTTGTCGTATCTACAGGAATTATTTACACGTTACACGTTGCATGTTACATTTTGTTGAGTGTAGCTATTGCATCCTGGCCTTTAGCCGTCGAAGATAGAGAACATAAATCAGATCCAGATTTATTTAAGATTGTATTATTAGGAAATACACACAGTTTAACAGCAAAATTTCAAATAATTTCAAGACTTAGGGAAAACTCATGAACTACAAAAAATCTAGCAGATACACTACAGTACTTAGATAGATAACTAGATTGGTCCTTGAGAAGCATTTTTTACATTAAAGGCAAAATTAAATCTAGTGAGCAACATTTTCAACCATCATTTCCATGTTTGAAATCCCAAAGTTCTGACTTAATTCCAAGAAAACTTAAGATTTTTATATTAATTATCGGGGAGAGTTTACACTTTGTTTTCACACTTTGAATGTTTAATAACCATTTGATAAAATATCACAATTGTTAAGAAAGGATACAAATGTATTTATTATACAATTGTAGTCCAGTAACCTGGTAGCCAGGGGGGCTCCGGGGTTTGCTCACTGAGCACTTTTCATATGATTTTGGGCCAAAGTTGTCAAATGTGAACAACCCCTGGAATTTTTTAAAAAGTGAATCCCCCTTGGCAAAAGCTGGCTAGTGGCTACAGACCTGAATTGCCTCATTTGTCTTTTATTTAATTCTTTTTAAAACAGTTATTCTCTAAGTTGAAAAATATCATCCTCATTAGTCTGATTTTGCCTTTATATGTAAAATTACATTTTGAGATGTAGCGATTTTTGCAAAATAAAAATCAGAATGAGTGGTCTCCAATTATTATGTGTCAGAAGTCTTATGAATGTCTTGATTTTTAAAGTGTAGTTAACTGTTCTTATATATTAAAACCTGTCAGGTGGAATACCTCTGAAGGAAGAACACCTTTGTATGTGGAACACCTTTGTAAGTGGAACACATTTGTAAGTGGAACATGTTTGTATGTGGAACACCTTTGTAAGTGGAGCACCTTTTTATGTGGAACACCTTTGTAAGTGGAACACCTTTGTATGTGGAACACCTTTGTAAGTGGAACACTTTCTGCTACAGGTTTTATTGTATATGTATTATTTACTCTTTTGTGGGCTCTATAGAATTTCCACTGTTTCTTCTGGGTATTCAAGAGTTCCCTCATCATACCCCGTTTCGATGAGCTTTTCAAAGACAGCCGTAAACTCTCTCAACCACAGATCATTATCAGCAGCGAAGTCGAGCATATCTTGGCTGGTGTCGGCCAGAGGACAGGACTTGTAGTTGCATGTAGCACGGCCCGTATCCTTTAAAGTGAGGTCTTTGTAAAGCCCGATGTCTGAGTTGAGCATCGTGTTTTCAGTGTCCTCTGGTTCTCCTCTCGTCTGCCTCCATTGATATTTAATAATTCGTCCTCCCTTGATTGGATGTTCCTCCTGTATCCAGCGTTTGGATGAATTGACGATATCCACATAGAATTCGTTGTCGAAACGGTCACGATGTTTCACCCAACGTCCTTTGAAGCCAGAGAATTTCTGACTTACATGTCCGAGCGTATGGGCACCCATCAAAGCCACAATTTCCCTGGGTGTGTATCCAAATGCATCTGTCATGAATGTAATGATCGCATCGCCATTCCACATTCCATCTGGAAATACCTTGCCGGGCTCTTCGGTGTATGGGGATGTCGATCCGCAATCCTTGCGGCCATAACGAAATCTTGGCTGTGGTAGGTAGTCACTAAAGCGATCTTCTCGGCTACAATGCTGTATCGCATAAATTGACGCTAGTGTCCAGAAATCAGCATGAGAGATAGGGATCTCCATGTTATTGATAATCTCCTCATAAACAGGTTCAAGTTGTGCGATGTATTGTTCTAACCCTGCATTCCCGACATTACTTTTATCGATACACCCGTCACAGCCTCCTAGACAATCGTGGAAGATTAGCCGCACGATTCCCGGTGCCAACATGGAGTGTCCAAAATTTTCGACTGCATCGGCGTCAATGACTTCCTTCATCAGAGTCATTATACTATTCACCTCTGATTGTTTTAAGCTGATACACGTCCCAAATAGACCAATCAGAATCAAGCATAGCGTGAACATCTTGGTAATTGGTTGGCTTTAACAAAAATAAAATTAAATCTTATTACCATGGAAACAATCAATATTCATAACACATTGGGCAAGATTGAAAGAACATAAAAATCCTCCATGAATGATCATTATTTGTAATAATTTCATTATGTTCAAAATATAAAAATAAAAATTAAAAAGAATAAAAAATACATGTACATATGAACTATAAAAACCAATATAAGATCTATATTTTAGGTCTATCACATTTAAGGGAAGTTATTAAAGAAGAGCACTTGTTGGAAGTAATCTTTTTTTTAAAAAAACATGCTAATGTTTCTATTGCAATTCTAATTTTATTTTCTGAAAAAAAAATTGAAATTAAATCGGATGAAATATCGAAGTTTTAAGGTGCATAAATAATCAAATTCATTATACATGTACAAATGTACATGTAATTGAAAAGGTATTTCTACTTTTTTCGACTTTACATCACAGATAAATTTAAAAACGGAAAATTATCCTAAAATAAATGAAGTCTGAAAGCTGTTCGACCTTCTAGGAAAAAAGGCAACACATGGGTTGATAAGAGCAAAAAATATCATGAATTCCTGACAGTGTTTTAAAACTACATTCAATTTGTCCCTTCCCCTTCTACTTTCTTTAAAATATATTCAGAAAAGTTAAAGGTAGTGTCAGATCTAGGCTCATATCATTCCTTTGTCATTTCTATTTTCTATAAATCCCCAAAGGACATTATAGCAAGAATGTATAATTTCTATTTAAATGTAGTTAAAACATTTATCATTTGAGAGAATTTAAACATTTTTCCATATTTTTCGTGGATCTTTTGGGAAATATTATATTTGAGATCGTTAGGAATACATGTACATGTTAATAGAAGGTTAATTGTACATGTTGCTTGCAATTTTGTCACCCTCTATACAGGGTGGGCCAAAAAAACGCCACTTTTTTAAGACACTACAACTTTTTTATTTTCCAACCTACATACCCCAAATTCTGCAGTTATATAGTGCCAGGGGTTCTTAGTAATAATATAATGTAACAAGTCCTTCAACTAGGATTATATTTCATCTAAAAGAGGAGTTCAATTGGTCCGCCACCCTATTTGATGATATATTTTAGTTTTAGTCGCCCTGCTGATATAGTTCAGGAACATTTTGCAAATTATGCTTATTTCTCATGACATTCCACATGTTTAAGTGAGACGCTGGAGTCACTGGTGACATGTTTTATTCAAGTAAAAGTGTACAATTCATGATCCATGGCTAGATAACAACCTCAAGTTTCATTTGGTATGCAAATTATGATTTTGTATCAAAAATTAAAAAAGTTATAGCATTTTGAAAAAAAGAGGCTTTTTTTGGCCCACCCTGTAGATCTGATTCTATCTTTAATGCTTTCATTTGAAAAAAAGTAAAAGATATGAAAATATATAAAACATATAACTCCAGATCCTTACCTCATCCTTCTGAGATCACCAATATACAAAATAAAACCTACTTGAATTTCCTTAAAATTAATAATCTTGAAATCGTGACCATCACAAGCCGACAAGACTGTGTCACTTAGATGTTGTATTTACCAACAAACAAAAACTAAATTGTTCTATTGATGGATTATAATTGGCTTATCCATTTTAATATTAGCACAGCTTTGTCGTGCCTTTAAGATTAAGTTATTATGTTAAAACACTTATTAGCAGTCCAATTGGTTTTATGGAAAAAAAATGACACCTGTTTTTATAGGATTTTTAGAGAAGGAGAAATAATATTATTAATAATTTGTGTCAATTTATTTTATTTGATGAAAAAGCAACGTTGAATTAAGCATATGTTACATTGAGGTTTTAATTTAGTTTTATTTTGTTTCATGGCATTTTTCACATTATTTAATGCAAACACACTTAGCAAATATTCAATTAAATTTTCAACAACATTATTTTGTTTCTTGCTTGATTGTGTTTGATGGAAATGTTGTCGCCATGGCTACATCACATCTTGCAGAAAACATAAATATTTTAAGAGATCTTAGATTACTTTGAAAAGGTTTCCTAAGTTTATTAGGGACGCAACCAATATCCAAGGGATTCAAAAATATCTTTATCCTTAGACAAGAAACATCACACTTAATTCTGGGAGATAAAATTTTCACATTTTTCGGGAAAGCCCATGTATATGGGTATCAATGCCCATGTTTAATTTCTGATAGAAAATAAAGTTCTATGTTTGCCCATGGGCTTTCAAATAGAGTTGTAGTTGAAAGCCCATGGTTTGCCTTAATCCTCCAAATATATCATGTTTCAAATATATCATGTTTTTCAGCTTCCAAATATTCAATATTTTTCAGCTTCCAAATATTCAATGTTTTTCAGCTTCCAATAATTCATGCATTTGGTATTTTGAAAAAAGCAGCTGCGGAAGTAAATCAAGAATATGACCTAGATCCAAAGATTGCGTCTGCAATATCACAAGCCGCACAGGAGGTACTAACCCACAATTCCCTATTCTACTTCATTTCAATTCTAAATCTAAATTGATTTTTTAATATTCAAGATTTTTATGGTTAAAGGGAGCAGTGTATGCTTCCTGAAAATAGAAAGAATTGTGAAAGTAACTAAGCTATAATTTTTAGTTTTGTGTGTACAATTAGTAATTTTGCTGAATACTTTGATTTACAATTAGATATTATCTAATTTTTATCATTTTCATTTGTAAAAATTGGTAAATTGTAATACACTGTTGCCTATGTTCAAGGATTCAGGCAGAGAAGTTCAAATCCTGAATTTGGAAAATATTCCATCTCGATTTATAACATTTATAAATTATTTTATGTACAAAATAATTAAATGCTTTTCATTTAGGTGACAGATGGGAGACTGAATGATCATTTCCCACTAGTAGTTTGGCAGACAGGATCGGGGACGCAGAGTAACATGAACGTGAATGAGGTGATAGCAAACAGGGCGATAGAGATGCTAGGGGGCGTCCTGGGGAGTAAGACGCCAGTTCACCCCAATGACCATGTCAATAAGAGTCAGGTAGGTCACAGGTTGATCTGTGGGTCAGAGTTCAGGTTGACATATGGATTAAAGTTCAGGTCATAGGTCAAGGTTCAGGTTGACCTCTGAGTCAGGTTGACCTATGAGTCAGGGTTTAGGTTCACTTATAGGTCAAAGTTTAGGTCATAGGTCAAGGTTCAGGTTGATTTCCAAGCCAGGTTGACCTGTGAGTCAGGGTTTAGGTTGACCTCTGGGTCAAAGATTTAGGTCATAGATCAGTTCAGGTTGACCTCTGATGCATGTTGACATTTGGGTCCTTGGCACATGTCAGGGTTCAGGTTGATCTATGGGTAAAGGTTTACACTGCTAATCTCAAACAGCACTGTTTATGAAACAGTGCTAGACAGCGCTGTAAAAACAGTACTGTACATCGTTGTTTTCAAAAACAGTACTGTACAGCGCTGTAAAAACAGGACTGTACTATGCTGTTCAAAACAGGTGATGCTAGAATAGCATTGTACATCGTTGTACAGCGCAGTACTCGAACTGCACTGTTCAGTACTGTTTACATCGCTGTACGGCACCTGTCTGTCAGTTCTCAATGAAATATTAAGCCTTAAATTATATATTTTATTGAAGTTCAGATATAGTGCTTGAGCTTTGTTGTTGCTTGATTGACGCAGGAATAGGAAATCATTACCTAAAATAAATGTTCATTCATTTATTACAATTAATGATTTACATCCATGTACATGTACATTTATTTATTTATGAGAGCCACATTCTTCCGTCATTGATTACTTTATGGAAAATACAGAGGCTGCCCATTGAGTCATTTCAAGATCAGTATGCATGCCTGTAATCCATCTTCGTGCTTTAAAGCTCAAATATTAAAAAGATGTCATCATGGAATAATTTAAGGTGAATGATAGTCTAAGACCTTAAAACTGGCATAAGCTTGAAAAATAGTGTCATCATCTCAATATTTTCCACTGCTCGGTCCCCGTCAACTCATTTGAAGTTTGAGCGCCATCATTTTATTTTCTGTTACCTATCAGTCAGTTTTGCCAATCAACACATTTTTTGTTCCTGTCATTTCAATTCTCCAATCGGATACTAACAGGGCTGTCAGTTCATTTGCCAAACAAATCATAACATTTCTTATATTCACTAATCAGACTTATTGGTCATTTCTAGAAATTTTGAGTTGACAGTTCATATTTTGAGTTGACGGTCCCTAATTGAGTTGACTACCCAACAGTATCCCCCATTTATTTATACATATACAACCAACATGACATGAAAACTCTGTTTTGAATTCCATTTCAGAGTTCCAATGACACATTCCCAACTGCGATGCATATAGCAGTTGCCATGGAGATAAGGAGATGTCTGTTACCAGGACTACAGCTGCTGTTGGTTACACTTAAAGATAAAGCACAAGAATTTAAAGATATCATCAAAATTGGGCGCACTCACACACAGGTACCTGTAGGAATTCTATTTGGTGGATTATAACAGCACTGATTGTTTGGCTCATTATCATTGTTATTGTGATTGTTGCCCGGATCTTCATAGGTTTTCAGTGTTGAGGATTTTCTTATTTTATTTAGGAATTTTGTAACTTTTTATGCAATATTTTTAGTTTTATTTCACCACCAAAAATCGTGACAAATGTTTATGGTCTCAGTTTTTTGTGACGGCGGTTGGTGATCGGCGGTTGGTGGTTGGTGTCTGTAACAAATGGTGGTGACATTTCACATGTTAATGCCTTGTTGGATTTTGAATGACGTATTCTGGATCTTATTATCTTTTGTTTTAACATTTATCAAGCATTGAATTAATGGAAGAACATTTAGGTTTAATGAAATACATGGCCGTGATTTGCCCAAGATATGTCTTTGTGTGGAGGGGACTTCTACTGAAAGTTCCCATTGAAAAGCATGATGCCTGTTTGTGTATAAACATTTAATTTTCTCAATTATATTTGTTTGTAAATTAATGACTGCTGGATTTGCTCAAAAACAGCACACATAAACAGGCTAACATGTGATCTGAAAGTGGATTTCCAGTTGCCTAACTTATAGATGGCAGTGTATGTTGTGTAAAATGTGATTAAGAATTAAAAGTACCTTTTCATAAATATGCATTGTGTGGGTTGTATTCACTCGCACACAGTAGTATCATTGCCATATATTTGAGGAGATCATGGTGCATGTATGATATGGGCATGAGCACTAATCAGGCACAGAGGCACAGCCTTTAGTGTTATACCATATATGATTTGGTATATAATATGCTGTCTCAAAACTCCATTCATAGGTAAAGGCCGATAGGAATAATTTTTAAATAAAGATGGCATGGAAATCGATCTGTGTTTATCTGTTTCTCGGCCCAGAACCTATGGTTGAAACAGAAATCATTCAATTATGTATTTCTACCTGTACATCCACACAGCATAGTCATCTACATGTATATACAAAATTATTTTCATGTTGTTATCTTACTTAATTGTTGTTCAACTAATATGGAATCCTATATGGCCTCACACTTTTTTCATGTATTTAATTGAGTCCACTTAAGTATTCTCCATGTCTGACCAATGTCCATATGGAGTCTATTTAAATCTATCAGAAGCATCATACTCATGAAAAAACAGACAAAAAAATATTTATTACAACTTTGATTCTATTAAAGGGCACTCTGATGGCACAAATTACATATATATATTTATATTATTGAGGACATGCAATGGCAGATCCCCGCCACTCCAACATACTTTGTAATTTTGGGAATATACACAAACCCTTGTGTCACCCACTCATTGTATATGTATATTGTATGTGTTTTGTGAAATAAACAAATTGAAATTGAAAAATTGAAATTTTAACAAATCTATTTTAATTTATATATCTATTTGAAAATCTTTTTATATGGTACCTGTACCTTGTCATTTCTACATCCTCTTATCAAGTGATATGTTTTGCCAAGTTATCATTTCTTTATATCCACTTAAAATCACTTTAAATTCAAATTTCCTTTAAATATAATTGTTTTAATACGGTCATTTTGATGGAATATGTGAGTTTTTTGTAAGTTTGGATACTCTTGGTGGTATTTACTTCATTGGATTTAGTCATATTTTGGTGTGAATTTATGTAACCTATCAATGGTTGGTAATTGTTTTTTTTTGTTAGTCATCATCTTTTGGTGTGAAATATAGTTCCTTTGTAAGCATAGATACTATCGATGATTGCTTTATTTTTTTCAGTCGTCATCTTTTGGTGTGAAATATAGTTCCTTTGTAAGCATAGATACTATCGATGATTGCTTTATTTTTTTCAGTCGTCATCTTTTGGTGTGAAATATAGTTCCTTTGTAAGCATAGATACTATCGATGATTGCTTTATTTTTTTCAGTCGTCATCTTTTGGTGTGAAATATAGTTCCTTTGTAAGCATAGATACTATCGATGATTGCTTTATTTTTTTCAGTCGTCATCTTTTGGTGTGAAATATAATTCCTTTGTAAGCATAGATACTATTGATGGTATTTGCTTCATTTGATTCATTGCAGGAATTCTGGGATTGTTAGATTGAAAATCAAAAGCTACTCTTCTGTTGACCCTTGTCATGATTTTCAGGATGTCAAAATCGGGGTCTTCTCCATGTTCCTCCAGTTCAATACAAAGCGCCTGTATGAACCATGAACCCTCTCTTGAGTTCCTCCATGCAAAATAGCCTGCAAAAATATTTTAGTTTGGATTAAAATGCCCCAAAGACAACTTTTAAATGCCCAAATGATTGCATAGAGCCTATATATATATTAAAAGACCCCTTATGAGTTCCTACATGCAAACTGAGACTAACATAAAACTCAGATGCAAAGTAAACCTTAACAAATATTGTAATTAGGATTAAAAATTCCTAGCCTCACAATTCGTAAAAATGCGCAAAAACTGTATAGGACCTGCTTATAAATACTAATCAACACCCTCCCAGGTTTGTCCATCTGAAATTGGATATGGCACAATAATGCAACTTTTGAATAGTGGTATTTTTCCATCCTCCTAAGCAGGTATCCAGAATCCGTACCTCCTTCTTCCCCCTGCTATAACCAATTTGGAAGCGTCCGATTAAACTGAATCACGTGGTCTAATTATGCGCAATGACTTATACATGATTTCTGTCGCAGTGTTGTGACAGACAATCAGATTGCGAGTTCTTAATCTGGGAAATGCTAACTGCTTATTGCAGGGGGTAAAAAGAAAGAATATATTCTAGATTTTGAAGCCCTGTGATCGGAGGATGTATTTTTCAGTAATTGGCACTTACAGAGTACTGTTTTTAAATTTGTTGGCTATGTTAAGCCTAATACACCACTATGATACAAAGGGCTTTATACCTGGTACTACAGAATATGCCATTAAGAAATCTGCCTCTGCTGGGATCCTGTATGTTGTGTTAGTGTTTGTTTCATCAATGTCATCACCTCCATGACCATCTGTTACTTCTATTCCCTCATCAAGCTTTGAACCTCTACATGCCTATAACATCATATTTTATTTTGTAAAAATTCTGAAACAGTATTAATCCTATATTTAATTTTTATCATATATTTTATTTAACTAAAAGTCTAGTTGTAGTTGATTATATATTAGAATGTATAAGTTGTCAAAATTTCAGCAAAATTGTTCAAAATGTCTGAAAATTGGTTTTTCCATAGTCTGAACCAGGAGTCTTATATTGCACCATGAGACAAATCAGCTAATAAGACAAAGTAAAAAACTAACTTGTATGAAAAACAGTTTAGGTTTTCCTGCCAGACTTGCACAATTGTTCCCTTTCAGTGGCTCTGTGAGAGTGTCAATGCTGACAGTGGCATCTTTCCCATATACTTCTCCATTGTCATTCCCATGGCTTAATATTACACAAGCAAAACAGTCCGCTTGGGAGTGGTCCATACTGCCGGCTTTGTTTAAAATACAAATACAAAATTGTTGGTATGGATGAACATTTTTAATAATTTTGAAAAAATATACAATTCCCAAATGATCATGAGAATAGAAAATAACATAATGTGCACATAGATTCTATCTGGAATTTTATATATTATGTATGAATGCTTGGGTTATTGACTCAAAGATATCATTTTCCAAATCTTATATTACCTTTTTTCATAAGACCCAACATTTCTTTAACTGTCTGATTTGTCTTGACTTCAGGTTTAAAGCCTAGTTCATGCAACTGTTGGCGTATATTGGACGCGTCAACATCAGAACCCTTTCTCTCTTGCTGTCTTGTTTCAGGATCAAAGGACTTGTTGTTTATAATGATTGCCATGCCACGTTTTGGATGTTTCATATTGTATCTGTACTTTTCGTCCTTTGGTCCTTGTAGATTTAGAGCTTCCATATTGTCTTCAAGGCCAGCCCTATTAAAATTGTATAAAGTAAGAACACCAAACAAATTGGGTTTATAATTTCAACACTTGAATTGTACCAAAATGCATTGAATCAAAATACATTGAATCAAAATACATTGAACCAAAATACATTGTACCAAAATGCATTGAATCAAAATACATTGTACCAAAATGCATTGAACCAAAATACATTGTACCAAAATGCATTGAATCAAAATACATTGAAGCAAAATACATTGTACAAAAATGCATTTAACCAAAATACATTGAACCAAATGCATTTTACCAAAATGCATTGAACCAAAATGCATTTTACCACAATAAGGATGTGTTATACAGATTTTAGACAGACTTTAGCCTATTTATTTGAGTAACTATGTTAGTGTTCCATATACACGAGGGGAAAGAGTACCCGTGTATATACAACCTACCGCCGAGAAAAGACCGGAAGATGTCTGAAAATGTAGGGGGTGAGTTATAAACTTTTGTTTATATCTTGAATTTCTCAATATGAGAAACAGATAAAACACAGAATTGTGTGTAACTGATAAAGTTATTGTTCCAGGCACTCATGTTTGCAAAATAATGAGTACTTAGCGCAATGTTCACTATCCAATCGCTAAATTCAACTTTTAAATATTTGAATGATGATTTACATCTTGAATAAGCAACAACCATGGCTGTCTTTACTTCATTTGATTCAAAGATACAATAGGCGTAAATGTATCTTATTTATTTCACTGCCATACGTTGCATATCATTGAAATCACCGGTGAAAGGTGAAAATGAAAGACCCAATTATGTCACGAGTACGATTATATAGGACCCGAAGCTACCACCGAGCTATTCCGACTATACCGTGAGTAGAACCCGATGAGGTAGTGAGTAAGCTTTCGAATGAGCATATACAGGGCGTCAAATAAGTCTGTTCTCCCCCTTAACTTTTTTAATTCAGAAATAACATAGGGTTGGTATATATCATCTTAAAGGAAATTTAATTTGCTGATCACACACCAAATTTCAGAATGATTGGTTAAATTCCAAATTTTTTAGAGTATTTTTAGTGATGTCCATAATTCACTTTTTTAATAGTCTGTATGTCTCCCCGGTAGCCCGGATTGCCTCAATTCTACGAGGATATGATCCTGTATAAATCATTCAGAACGTTTAATTTTGGCTGCTATCAACTATTTTGTGCCCCTGCTTCAAAAGCTCCCCTGAATGTAACACATTTTACTCTGTGACGATATTGAGAAACATTGAAATCACCCAATGTTGGCATTGTTACTGCAGTATCAACTTTTCACTTTTCATTCACTATACCTTGTAATTTTACTTGTTTTGACGTAATCAAAGGTCAACTACAACCTTACAATAAATGTTGTAGCAATTTTATTAGGAGGAGGTTATGATTGCTTTTTTGAGGGTGATCAGCATTTTTCATAAGCTTCAAAATGATATATGGAAAAGTATGATCAAATTAAAGATAAAAAAGTTAAGGGGGGAGAACAGACTTATTTGACACCCTGTAATATCATGACGATATCACGAATATTCCTTTTTATTTATCATATACTCCTGGCACCGGGATATAATATAATATGATATAATTCCCGCAGCACTATACGTCAACGTCTGTTTCCGGCAAAGTTCTTTAAAACATTGAATTCATGCTTACACTTGAATCACCATAATTTCCCATGTGTCTATGGTAAGAGTGCAACCCAAAAACATTTAATTCTGCATTGCAAGCGCCATTCTACTCAAAGAACACAACTTGAAGAATCCCAAGCTTCACAAGCTTCATATCCTCGAAACGAAAATTACCGTGATCTTTCTTTGATAATACAATACCATAGTCAAAAACATTGTAAATCCATTTTTTGCCATTTAACTCAGGCACATTAACTTTAATACTCAGTAATGGATGGTGTACTGACTGAAGTGGACCACAAAGTCATCCATCTCGTGTGATTTATAACTACAGTGGAAGCATTTGTACCGAGGACCTGAAATACAATGTTTCGATGTGCAGTGGTAACTGGTGATAGCCATATTTTTTTCAGTTTCATTTATTGTTCACAACAAAATGATTCACATGAATGATGCAGATTGTATGTTTATTATTTTTTCATCAGCACGTCATAAACTCGACGATATAATCGGATCTCAACAGATTTTACTCAAGTAATGTTCGGATCTTTATAATATTACTCGTCGATCACATCGGGTCCGATGTCCGATAACCTCGGATCTTTTAGGACAAAGTTTAAGTGAAGATTTTGCTGTTCAAAAGTGCTATTTTGACCTAATATTTTGACACTTAATATATTATGCATATGCACATCCATTTACCGACCCAAGTATGTCTTATGTATGGCTCATTATCAATTAAAGCGAGTATGAATGAGAAAAACAAATCGAAACCCATTATACGTTTACCTTATCTCTTAATTTGGACATAAAAATATATTTCAACTATAATTCTAGGCCAATTGCGCCTGCTAGAACATCTTAGTAACAACTCTAACCATCCAAAGGAATTGTTAGTGACATTATATTACCTTTATTGTCCATTTTCCTACGAGATGACATTATCAAACATTTGCTCGGCGGTATGTGCGTGTCTTGCTCGGCGGTAGGTTGTATATACACGGGTACTCTTTCCCCTCGTGATATATGTTAAAAAATAAACTGGCCAAGATCTGACCTTGTATTCGCGAATGCAGCTAATGCCTGTAGGCTACCGGATTAACCTACAATTTTATGGCCAACTCATTTAAATATTAATGGGATAGTGGCAGGGACTATTCATATTTAAATGAGTTACCCATAAAATAGTAGGTTAATCCAGTAGCCAACAGCCGTTAGTTGCATTTGTGAATACAAAGGAAGATAACTAAAATTAGACCTTATATCCAAACCCCTCTCATTATGTACCTCATGTATTAACTGCATGACCTTTAGTGTGTGAGCCTGACCCGGCTACGTATAGCACAGAGTTTATACTGGCGGATTAGACTAGTTCATTTTTTATATGTGTGTGAAAGCTTTCTCTTATTTGCGTTTTTTTCGTTTAGTACGGTTTTGTTATGATTGCCGAGGTCATATAACCGGGATGAAACAATGATTATCGTTGACTGCCCACACACAAAACATACGTTGAGTGAACAGTGTTATTACAAACAACAGGCTTTAGAATACAAAGCCCAGTAGTGTGATAATAAGCTGTACACTACCACTGCTGCATGTACATATTAGTAGGGTCCCAAAGAGTGGATAGGGAGGTTGTGTTAGTCACTTTTAAATTTACATTTCAAAATTGTCATTTTACATGTCATAATTTGTTGGTTTCATTCGTTTAGCCAATCAAAACATTGTAAAACAATAAATTGTCTGTTACGTACAATCAATTTTGTTCAGTTTTGATTAGTTGTCAGAATAAAGTTACGTTCATCTAAATCCATGTATCAAAACAAAAATCTTATTTTCACTTCAAAATACATCAGTGAGATGAATGCTCGGAATTGTCACATGCAATAACTTATTGTCGTATTCGTTATTTTATCTTCTCGATAGTAGCATTTAGTCGCACATTTGATGCCAGGTCACCTTGGGGAGCCCCACATTTATGTGTGTACTCATGGAAGTAAATTCCCCGGTGTAGCCGAGAGCCACAAACTTTTCAACAGCTTCGAAATGGCCAATTTCTCTCATATATACTCTAAATATTTTATTATTTAGCACCTACAAAGTATTGCTAATAACCATATGTAATTTCAATAAGGAAACTTATCTGGCTACATGTAAATTCAATATCAACACTAGCTGTTCTCTCAACACGCCCTGGCTTACCTTGTGGTGACAAACCCTGGATTTTCGCTATTTATAGTTTATCAACACCTGGACGCATGCACATTTTATAGTTTATCGGGCACTTTAAACTGCTTGGAAAACAAGCCAATTAATTTTTATGTGTACAGATCAAATAGTTCACTGTAAATTCAAGGCAATCAAACCAATAGTTCTTTGGTAGAGTTGCACACATTTAGGGCGTATTTTTGTATGACCATGGAGCAAGTGAATTTGATATTGTTGCATAATATTTAAGCTGTTATAACCACAAGTGTCATTTAGGCGAGTAGCATTTATGCCGTGAGCATTCAAAAATGCAGCCTTAATCTAACCACAATCTAATTTTTAGGATTAAAATCTTGCTCACGGTCAAAAAATCATGTAGAAAAATGCAGCCTTATGCCTGGGTCACATTTCACTCTACTATACCTAACACCTAGAAATGCATAAGATACTTTGTTTGTCTAATTGTATTGTTTAGTATATTTTTGAAAGTGCCTTAGTAACATCTAACATTCAACTGATAAACCATTAATAAGGAACAGGCAAATAAAACAAATACATAATCATTACTAATAAGCCAAATGGGTTGCTCATGAACACCAAATGCAAGGTATAGTAGAGTGATTTGCTCTGATTCAACGGCGAGCACCCGGACAGATTTAGTATTTTATTCAAATTGTATTCAGTTTTGAACAAAATACTCATTTGGCCAGTCGCTGGTCAATGAATCGGAGCAATTGTGACTCAGGTATTAGCGGCACTCATGCATGATAGGGCGGGTCAACCAGAAAACCACTGTTATTCCTGACACTCTGATTTCAACCAGTTACGCTTTTACAACGTTTTACAACTTTTTTACATTTAAATTGATCACATCATGGGCTTTCAATTAGAAAGCCCATGGTCACATTTAGAACATTTTTTTCTGTCTCAATTTTTAGCTCATATCGATAAGCTATATTGTTATCACCCATATTTTTTAATTTGCCATAGAATTCCATGTTAAAAATTTCCAAAGAGAACACCTGTCAATCTGAACACTTTTGGCCAATCTTAGTATAGAACTCTAGAACTCTTTTGCTGATAATTTTGTGATAACAACAATTAATGCCTTGGTCACATTTGATCCGATTCGTCGGCTGGGCGCCAGTCCTGAAAATCTGAGCAAATGTGACCACGGCATAATAGAGCCAAGGCTTACACAACTGTCACATCTACGTAGTGTTATACTCTGAAAAATGTTAGTTCCCCAAACCACAATAGTTCACCCCAAGTATTCCAGCTATAATGCTGTTCACTTATTTATACCCTTGCTAAGCTGCCAGGCCCATAGCCAGGGGGGGTTCAATGGGTTCGAGCGAACCCCCCCCCCCTGGCCAAAAAATCTTTCAAAATCATGCAGTTTTTCACCATTCTGAGCACCTTTTGAGTGATTTTGGCCATTTTTGGACCAAAATTGTCACAAGTGAATCCCCAATGTAATTTTCAAAAAGTGAACCCCCCTTGGCAAATCCTGGCTACGGGCCTGGCTGCTATGTTTTTTTCTTTGTCCTGTATTGATAAAAGATCAATAAAAATTCTATAGGTCTGCATTAGTAATAAACACAGTAAGTAAGAACTTGAGTATGTCAACAAGTTATAAAGATGAAGAATCAAAGTTTACATAAAATACCTACACATTTTGTGTGTCACCCTGGGCTCTTGCTGCAGTTTTTGAGGTTGGGGTTCCATCTACCAAGTCTGCCATCGTGTTTCTAGCCTTGTAGAAATAGAATAAAGAAATAAATTAGAAATAATGAGCCTGACCTTATAACTGAGAAAACTTAATATATAAAATATATAAAAAACAGAAGAAACTTTTTTAGATTTTAAAATAACTAGTTATTAGATATTTTAGTAGCCAGTCAACTACTCGATAATTGATGTACATCTCTATATCTCTGGCTATCTTTTCTCACATTTATTAAAAATACATTTATTAAAAATACATTTATTAAAAAAACATTCATTAAAAATCTATGGCTATATGTCTTTGATGAATGGGGCCATTTTTTCACCTGGATTGTCCTAAACTTCAACTTTCACAGCTTTACAGGGAAAATAGAAAAACTAATGTCAAATTCAAAATCGGAATCAAAGACCTTAGCATGCATTGATACCCTCATAATCATGGGTAAAGTTCATACAAAGTACAATGTTTTCATACTGAATGATACATGATATATTCCATACAATGAAAATGAGTGCATTATTTAATAAAATGTCAAATGTCAAAATAACCTCAATAATACTATGTACAGAGCTCAAAACAGGTTTTTACATGCACTCCCTGGAACATTTCACTAGACAATATATTCCATTTCGGAAATAACACCATTTTCAACAATGTTTGTCTCTATTTTTATAATATGTTTATAAATGAGTCAATGAATAATTGATAACAAATCTAAAAGTATGAATTCAGGTCATCGCAACTTTCTGTGTACGTTAGATAAAGGTATATCATGTTATGTGGGTATAGGTTTTTATTTGATTTATTTGCCTTGATTTATTGTGGTAAGCCACACCTTTGTCATTTCTCTGTCTTATGTGCCCAATATAGTGCTCTAAATAATACAATCTTTGAAAATTTGATATCATTCATAGAAAAAGAAAAAAATGAAAAAAATGAAAAGCTATCTATTTTCCTTGTTATGACTGCCATTTTTGTTTCGGACAATTTTTGTAAAATTTCAAAGATTGCATCATTTAGAGCAATTTATTGGGCACATTTTCTGAAAGCTTCAAAAGATTCTGTTCAGTGACCTCTCCTAAGCTCCAACTTTTAGCTATTTTAAGTCACATTTTCAGAGGACTGAAAAAGTTATTTCATCATGTTTAAAGTCATTTTGACCATAGACATTGTGATCCTGGTCATGTAAATGAAATGTGGAACTAGTTAAACTAGTTAAACAGAACTGTGTTATCTTGGTTCAAAAATGTTTGAAATCCAGGATGGTTTTTTCACTTCCTGTTTTGTCATTTTCTGTTATTAAACGCTCATACCTGTAAAATTTGTTTTCTTGGACGTCCTGACACTATTGTAACTGAATCAAGTCCAGTCCCTCGTAACCTGCTAATTGCGTAGTTGTCCTTGTCTATATTTTTAAATAACATTAAGAGGAAGTGAATTTTACAAGTTCAGTCTCACTCTATATGTATTTGTAGAGTACTTACATGTACTTGTTCTTAGAATACAAGTCTTTATCAGTTGTTATGTGTTAAAACGAAACTGCTTTGCAGTGTATGTACACACCACATATGTGTGCTTTCATATTTGTGAAGTTTGAATTTTGTGTACATTGTTCAATGCGACTATTTATTTATTTATTTTTAACATTGAATAGAGGAGTTTCATATAGCTTTGAAATCTAGCTAATTCTCATTTTTTCATGGGTTTTTAAGAGATTTGCACTTTTAACCTTTTACAACTAATTTTTCTTTCTTTTTAAAAGCATATATGAATTCAGTGAAAAGTTTTCCACAGTAATAACTTTGAATTATACAGTTTTGTCATTTAAATCATTTTCCAAGACGTTTTAAAAAATCTCTTTTGAAGCTATTATTGCATTGATGCAATTATTCATTTGACAACCAATGATTTCATGATTAATCACAATAGGTACATTGACGACAGGATTGTTCCACAGTATGCCATTTGAGTTTCAGACAGATTCAACCAGCACTTTTTCATGAATCATAAATTAAGTGACGGTTGCAAGTTTATAACATGGATCGCTATTGCAGTCTTGCCCAAGCAAAATGAAGAATGACAAGGGTGACATCTATTATGTCAGCTTTATTTATCAGCTTTATTCAGCTACTACAGGGTGGGCCAAAAAAAACCACCCCCCTAGCCAATATTTCTGATAAATATTCAATTTTTAACATGCACACCAACAATGATATATCATTCTAAAGATAATTTAATTTGCAACAAAATGATATATAATAGAACAATTTTCAACAACTCTGGCTCGAGATATAACCATTTATGTGACATGGGGGTCAAAAAACACCTTTTCAATTTCCGCCGATTTTGCCAACAATTGCCTATTTCTACCGAATTTTAGTAAATTACAACATTGTCTTGAGTCTTTCATAATTGGATATTATATATTGTTTTCATTAAGTTTTTGAACCTTGCATGCTCAATATACATGTGTATGCTTATAAAACTAATTCATTTCTTCTTCAGTCTGTCAAAATATGGCTCAATAGACTCACCCCCGGACCCAACTTCTGATTTGATTTCTCGCTTAAAACGCGAAAGCCATTGGTATAATTGATGGACCTCTGCAGAAGTACCATCCAACACCTAATTATTCATTCTTTCTGTTTGTCTACACCCCTGATGTTCTAGGGATCTCCATAGGCCAACTGTTCTAAATGCCCCAAGTACTATACATGTAATCAAAAGGCTATACTCTATATCAGTAAGCAAGAATAGTGACATTTGCGATAAAAGGCTACTCAAATTGAGATGACATTTTTCTGAAAGGTAGGTGGTGTCCACTCGGTGTTTCCCAAAAAGGAAAGACCATACAGGCCCTGTTTTTGAACCAGGAGCAAAAATATACTCTGAATGTTAATGATATGAGGTGGTAAAAAAGGACTCCTCAAGAATATAAAAAACATGTGAAAGAAATTTCATTTTCTGATAGAACAGTACTCCATCACACAGGTCCAATGCTACCCTGGAGTTTTTGGAGATTCGAAATGTCACCATCTCTAGCCCAGAAAAATGGCTTACTGGCAGTCCAGTTGCCAATAATGTTGATTACCATACCTGGGGGCATCTAGAACAGTTGGTATTTAAATATACCCAGCCTATCAGGGATGTAGAGGAACTAAAAGAAAGAATAACTAGTAGTTGAATGGTACTTCCGCATACATTCATCAATTATGCCATCAACCAATGGCTTCCACGTCTTAAGCGAATAATCCAATCAGAGGATGGGTCCGGGGGTGGGTCTATTGAGCTATTTTTGGACAGACTGAAGAAGAAATGAATTAGTTTTATAAGCATACACATGTATATTGAGCATGTGTGGTTCAAAAACTGAATGAAAACAATATATAATATCCAATTATGAAAGACTCATGACAATGTTGTTATTTACTAAAATTTGTTAGAAATAGGCAATTGTTCGCAAAATCGACGAAAATTGAAAAGGTGTTTTTTGACCCCCATGCCACATAAATGGTCATATTTCTATATGGGGTTGTTGAAAATGGTGCTATTATATATCATTTTGTTGCAAATTAAATTATCTTTAATATGATATATCATTTTTGGTGTGATTGTTAAAAAATAAATATTTATAAGGAATATTGGCTAGGGGGGTGGTTTTTTTTGGCCCACCCTGTATTTAGAAACAATACTATTATTGCTGGTTGCAGTTTATTGTAATTTCAGTATATATGTTTGTAACGTTATATGTGGTCTCTGTCATAATTTGTAAAAAATGCTCTCATTAAGACATTCTAACATACTATATATAACTATGACTATTTTTAATGAGTATTTCATTTCATTTAGGATGCCACCCCTCTCACCCTAGGCCAAGAATTTAGTGGGTATGTCCAACAGATTGAGAATGGAGTGGAGAGGGTGAAATCAACATTACCAAGACTCTACCAGTTAGCTGCAGGTGTGTGTGCCTTTATAATAAGTTACAATAGATTCTCAAAACAATATATTAAGTCATATTGCAATTAATGAAATACTTCAGTATTCTGGGTCAAAACTGAGATTGCAGTAAATTTTTAATTAATCAAAATGGATGTGGCAGTCAAGGTCAAATTTGAGAGATTTCAAAAAATAATTATTGCAGAAAAAGTGACATAAATTAAGGCAATTATTACATGTTGTTTTAGTCTCCAACTTTTTTGTGGACAGCAGTTTCATTGAGCAGTTGGTGTTTGGTGTACGGCATCTGTAACTAATGGCGGGTGGTGGGTGGGTTTTGTTATTGCCTTGTTTTATATTTTATTTATATTGTAGCGTTTGCGGGTATTTATAATTTGTATTTAAACATCGCGGCTACATTTCTTTCCTTCACTAACCTTCGTTTCCATTCAGAAATATTTCTTGCAAATTTCGGTGCGATAATTTAGTCACCATTTTAATTGTTAGCGACCTTTATATTAATCACCGTTTTCAGCATATTTATTAACTCTGTAGCTTCCTTTATCTATCTGTATGCATATCCTTACGCAATGTTCAGCATTTTGTAAGTATTTCATTTTAATTGACACATTTATAAACTTTTGCAAACTTTTCATGGGCGCCGCCATCAATGACGTCACATTTCCCACAGTGCACTTCGTACTGATTGCGGGAAATTCAAACAGAGGAATGACGTCAGATTCTAAGAATTAAAACTGTGACGATAGAACGCTGCATATCAGCGGGAAGGAAGGACTTCAGCTAGATTTCAAAGAGCGAGGACGTATTGTCGAATTCTCTTCATGTAACTTCATAAATCATGTACTTTTGGGGGGAGGGTTGTAAATATCAAATAAACTCTTGTAAATATGTTAACCAATAAGCTAGTCTGTAGTATTTTATATGGATTTCAAGTGAAAGAAAGTATTGCCACGGGACTTGGAACATTTTCCGTGGTTGAGCCCATGTTTTATGATCATGATGTAGTTTATCCCTACTTGATCATATGTGGTTTATCCCCACATTATATCCTGTTATACTTGTGATGTTGCCTTATCTGTGGTCTATCCCCACTGGCATAATTTTCACAATGCAGTTTTATATGCAGAGATGTGATAAGCAGTTATCACAGTATCAATCAATCAATGTTAAATCATTGTATGCAGTGTGTCACTTTATTTGTCACATTTGTAATGCTGTACAGAGTGACCCACAATATTGGTAACTCATGAATATTGCTGCTTATAGCAATAATAATGCTGTATTCCAGTAGCTGTTAATCCCATAATATCACACATTCCATAAATTTACAGACACTACCACACACTACCATTATACTTGAATTCTGAGACATACATTCATAACCATCATATTATTTGGCACCCCGGCTATACTACAATATGTTATACTACTGACAGCATCTTATTTCTAGGGTGAGAGAAAATGTATATGTATTTGATTTCTCCTCTTTTATTTTTTTAAAAAATATCATGTTTCAAAGTTGACCTTCAAATGACCCATGGGTAAAGGTCAAATGTCAAAATATCAGAAATCACATTTTAACCAATAAGTTCAAATTGCTTTTCAAATCCATGCCCATTAATACTTGTTTTCTAATGGAAATAAAATGGGGGTCATACTGACACCTTTCTTAATTTTCTGCTGTTTCTTATAGGGGGCACAGCTGTGGGGACTGGACTCAATACGAGGATAGGATTTGCCGAGAAAATTGCGGAAAAAATCTCTGACATCACAGGTACCGTTAAGTAAACAATACACAAGATACAGAGATATCTCCAGCTATTATAAAACATATGATATTAGGGAGGTTAAGCCACGCAAGAGAATTTTTTGTGAAATACTTGTAATTAGGTTCCTGAAAAAACAATTGAGATGGAGACGGTAATCTTTGAGAGTCATAATACACATTCACAGTTCATACACAAAATCTCCTCAAACGTGTGGTTTGACCCCAGTATTTTTGCAACTAGGGTAAGAATTGTCTCGGTTCATATTCTTTCTTGCAAGGATTTTTTTTTCTATCACAGTAAATGTATTTATTATTATTTATTATGAATAATTTCAATAAAATTTTGACTGTGTCAATGAATAAATAAGAAATCACTTTGGTTTTCAGGTTTACCCTTTGTGACTGCACCTAATAAATTTGAGGCTCTAGCAGCCCACGACTCAATGGTAGAAGTCCATGGTGCTCTGAACACAATTGCTTGTAGTCTGATGAAGATAGCTAATGATATCAGATTCCTTGGGTCAGGTCCTAGGTGTGGGCTGGGGGAGTTGATGCTACCTGAGAATGAGCCAGGAAGCAGTATTATGCCTGGTGAGTATTTGTATTATGCCTGGTGAGCATTTGTATTATGCCTGGTGAGTATTTGTATTATGCTTGGTGAGTATTTGTATTATGCTGGGTGAGTAGTTGTATTATGCCTGGTGAGTAGTTGTTTTATGCCTGGTGAGTACATGTACTTGTTTTATGCTTGGTGAATTTTTGTATATGCCTGGTGAATGAGTAGTTGTATTATGTCTGGTAAGTAGTCGTATTATGCCTGGTGAGTAGTTGTTTTATGCCTGGTGAGTATTTGTATTATGCTTGGTGAGTATTTGTATTATGCCTGGTGAGTATTTGTATTATGCCTGGTGAGTATTTGTATTATGTTTGGTGAGTATTTGTATTATGCCTGGTGAGTAGTTGTATTATGCCTGGTGAGTATTTGTATTATGCTTGGTGAGTATTTGTATTATGCCTGGTGAGTATTTGTATTATGCTTGGTGAGTATTTGTATTATGCCTGGTGCGTATTTGTATTATGCTTGGTGAGTATTTGTATTATGCCTGGTGAGTAGTTGTATTATGCCTGGTGAGTATTTGTATTATGCCTGGTGAGTAGTTGTATTATGCCTGGTGCTATCTTTGAAACAAAGCTATTAGATATTACAGGATACCTGATTATGTTCTTGCGTGTACATTGTACATTATGTATTGTAAGCAGTAGCACGATTAACAAATTAACGAAATGCTATCAGAATTACATACTATTACATACAGTACATGCATTCATTAATGGCACAGATAATATTCCCTCAATGTTTCAACTTTCTCAGTCAACCATTGAAAATTCAATACTATTCAAAAATATGTTTATAAGATCATAACTTGCACGTGGATTAAAATTTAATTAATATGTTTGCGTGTCTTTAAAATGATGATTTTATGTTGATTGTACAGAATGATAAATGTTGATCAAATGTATATAATATTCCTATAGGTAAAATCAACCCAACCCAATGTGAGGCCATCACCATGGTAGCAGCCCAAGTAATGGGAAACCACGTAGCTGTCACAGTAGGTGGTAGCAACGGCCATTTTGAATTAAATGTCTTCAAACCAATGATGGTTCGTAATGTACTCCAATCAATTCGTCTCATCGGAGATGCGAGTGTATCATTCGCTAATAATTGCGTAGTTGAAATACAGCCAAATAAGGACAGGATTGAGCAACTATTGAACGATTCATTGATGTTAGTGACTGCGTTAAACCCGCATATAGGATACGATAATGCAGGAAAGATTGCTAAACACGCCCACAAGAGTGGATTGACATTGAAGCAGGCAGCTGTTGAGCTGGGCTTACTCACTGAACAACAGTTCAATGATTGGGTTAAACCTGAAAACATGCTTGGGCCAAATTAATAGACGGGTACCAGTGTTCCAAAAAAAAAAAATACCAGTGTTCTCCCCAGAATATTTTCACTATGTTGGTGCAAAATTCTTGATTTCACAATTTAGACCAAAGGATTGGTATCAATATGATGAACTTTTTGAACACACGTTTCTCCTTACCGGACATCAAAAAATTCTGAAAATTTTACACACCATCAATTTAATGGTCACAACTTGTTTAGGTCTCTCAATACTGTAAGTGCGCAAAGGAAAGTTTGGTTGATTAAAAAAGTATTTTTTAATAAAATAAAAGGTTTATCTTAATTTGTATAACTATAATATTGAGAGGTCTAAGAAAATGTTGTATATGCTACTTTGTTCCAACAAGGTTTGGATATATCTTTTATTTCATTCTCAAGAATTAGTAGAAAGGAACAAAAAACAATTGCACTAAAAAACAAAAAATGTTAACAAAAACAGTTATATAAAATGTATATAAATACTTTTTTGCGTTGAATTGTTGTCAATCAGTCAACAATTGGTTTAAGAGAGAAACATTGTTGAATTCAGTTCACCGTATAGTATCGATACCATCCTTTGGTCAAAATATGCCTATTTTTCATGATTTTTCTCATTTTCAAGTGGATGCAAATGGATTCTTGGGTGGGTGCAAGCCTATTTTTAAAATCCCAAGTGGGTGCAGGGTTTTAATGCTGGGGAGATTACAGGGTACAATGCACCTGTACTGGTTGTTGAGAAATTGAGCATAGAAAAGAGAAAGGGTTATTGATTATACTGTAGTATAAAACCTGTAAAATGTAAACACACACCAGGAAATATGTTGGTTGTAGTTGTAAAATAGGTTTTATTCTCATAGGAGCGAACCCTCTTTTTCATCAAAATTAAGATTGCATAATGTGTACGTTATTATGATCATTTATGGCCACTTGTATCATTTATGGTATTTTGTATCAATAATGTATATTAATTTGTTAAGGAGGACCATTTGAACAAATAACTGTGCCTGGTAATACCTTGAATTAAACAGGTCTACAAACTATTTCTATGTCTTGTACACCAGTGTTGCTCTTAAACAATTTTTACCATAATTTTTTATCTCTGAATCTAGGGAATTCTTAAAGGCAGAATCTGATCTTTAGGGTGTGACAAAATTACAAGCAACATGTATAATTGACCTACCAATCTATTCCTTACAAAATCAAATACAATATCTCCCAAAAGATTCACAATATGTTATAAATTGGTGAAGTTATTAATGATTCAAAGTGCAAAACTGAGTGAAAAATGTTTAACTTCTCCCAAATAATAAGAATGGTAACCATTCTTATAATAGAAAAATAATACATTATTGTGAAAATCTTTAGTTTTCCTGGAATAAAGTTTGCACTTTTGTGATTTTTAGAAAAAAGACATGACAAGGAATGACATGAGACAAAAATATTCTAAAATTGAAACAATTTTTTGTTTAGCCTGCTCGCTATATCTGATTCTCTCTTTAATATGTGTACCGTGTATGTGGCTGGGTGTGGGTGTATATGGGTGTGAGTTAAAAGCCATATCAGGTGGTAATAGGAATAAGTCAATGGGGTTAATGGACACAGTAGGCAGATCTGCGGTTTTTGCGTCAACACTAGAAGTTATTTGTGGCGGTGGTTAACTTTTGGTGTTCGTTGGTTGATGTTTGGTGGTTGGTTTCAGCATCTGTATCAAATGGCAAGTGGTGACATTTTGCATATAAATGCCTTGTGTAAATTTGTTGAAGAAAGCAATATTCAAAGATGGCATGTGGGGAGGTTGGAAATTTGACATACAATATTGTCTCGGGGAGCATGCTTTTTTCTAGTACTTCATCTGGGATTAGTGACTTTTGAAATGTAATTGTAATCAGAATTTTTACTATATTTGCCTATCTATCAATTCTCCCAGGGAGAGGAAATTGACTCCCTAGGTGCACCCTGGGTAGGGAATTTTGCAGCCCAGTTTCTGTTTGGTCATAATCCCGACCCCCTCCCCCCGCATGGGAGGGGGGTCTCAAGTGAACCTTTGAATGGTGCATTAATTGCATATCGACCTGGATCCTTATAATATTTTATATTATGTGCATGTTCTACAGTATTAATGGACTATATTGGAAAAATAATGCTTCTCTTAATGTATATGTGAAAACTATACCAGACAGTATATATAGATGTAGATGAACCATATGGCACTTAAAGATCTAATTCTGAATTTGTTATTTAGAATGATCTGCCAATAGTTAATGAAATATAATGCTGCAGAATTATTGTAGGATGTTTCTAAGAAAGTATCTTTATAGATTTCCTGAAATAAGTCGAGATGACTTTATAATGTGAAAGTGCCGTACGTTGACATTTCAATTGTAGAAATATTATACTTTACATTAAGGGTTTATTACTCTCTAAATAGTCTTACAGATTCTTATGTTGACACCTCTGTCATAAGACATTGATTGAGTGTGTGTTTAACATGTGTATCAATGGGAGAAAATTGACTTGGTATCCAACAATGGATGACTCTGAGAGGTGTTCATATGTTTGCATTTGAGAGGTGTTTACATGTTAACAATTTGTTCCTGATAGGTGTTTACTTAAGATCATAATCACCATAGACAAGTGTCCATATAAAGGGGTGTTCACTTAAACATGTGTTCACATGAAGATGTGTTCACTTCAACAGGTGTTCACTTCAACAGGTGTTCATTGAAACAGGTGTTCACTTCAACAGGTGTTCATTGAAACAGGTGTTCACTTCAACAGGTGTTCATTGAAACAGGTGTTCACTTCAACAGGTGTTCATTGAAACAGGTGTTCACATAAAGATGTGTTCACATAGAGAGGTGTTCCTATATCATATTATAGCCTTAGAGAGGTATCGGATGACTTATGCTCATCCCTCTAGCACAGATATATATTACCCATAAATCCTAGCATAGCAATTCATTACCCATAACTCCTGCTTTAAAGGAATAATATGGATTTTCTCTGTGCCATAATCGTTATGAAATGGCTAGGCTCAATGGCTCATTGTCTTGAAAATTGTAACAAAGACTGCTGATAACTGCAGGGTCTAAAGAAAATGTTTATTTTTGCCTCAAGCCCTTGTATTGTGACCCCCCCCCCCATACTCATATCACCTCTTGGGGTGAAGTGGTGAAGGGGGTGGGGGGGGCAAAAGCTTGATTCAAGACTACAAAATTACACAACATATTTACTTTGATCCATGCGTTCTTCAGACACCCTCCTCTGATCATTATACAGGGTGTGCATAAATTCTAGCGTAGAGGCTTTATAGACACCCTGTATTGACATTTTCATCCATAATAACTTATTTTAGTCCCTGTAACTTAAATAATCATAGAAAGGATGAGCATTCATAAGATTTCTATTGAATTCCTTGACTAGATACATTTCTTGCATTCCTGACATTCCTAGTTATTAAACCCTATTACAATGGCAGCTATAAACATTGTATTATTTTATGACCAATTTATATCAACAGACAGTAATTTGATTATCTGTGTATTGCTTTATGGAAAAATAAAATGCAACAATTACATTTACTTGTTTATTTAGTTCTATTAGGGTAAGGTAGTCAGGTCTATAGCCAGCTTTTGCTGAGGGGGTGCACTTTTTAGAAAATTTCAGGGGGGTTCACTTTTGACAATTATTGGTCGAAAAATGGCCAAAATCATTTAGAAGTGCTCAGAATTGTGAAAAACTGCATGGTTTTGATTTTTGGCCGGGAGGTCACTCAAACCCATCGACCCCCCCCCCCCCCCACTTGGCTACGGACTTGTTTGTATCCATCCTCTGAACACAGGCCTCCAGAACTCGTAGAACTCGTCTTCCAAAAAGGAAGGAACTTGTGGATGACTTCTGGACATCTGCGTTTGGAGGATGGTTAGTATCAGGCCTAAACTATAGAGGACGCTCTTTATTATCTCCATAGCTACTGCAATCACTCAACTTGTCTGTCCATCCGTCTGTCTCAATTTATTGCAGACGCATATTTAGCATTAAAAAGGGTTTGAACATTAAAATACATTAAAATTGGAGTTTTCACCATTGTAAACCTTTTCACTGTAATTTCTATGTAACTTCCTACACAGGACCACAGAGATACCTGTTTTCCACAATAACAGACACGACTCATTTTAACAACTCTTAATTAATTACATCACACTTACTGCAAATAGTCATGACATGATAACATTTATATGTTCGTGCTGGCACTCATAATTAGGAGCACGAAGTTCTGAAAGTAATATAATTACGCGCAGGATGATGATATTATTTTCACATAGTGGCACTGATTTGCCAAGCCCTCTGAATTTCACGATAAAATAAGCGATATTCATCACCGCGTGTATTATTCAAAAACATTATTAACACCCTGCAACTGGACGATGGATTTTTCCATCACTAGCAACCGTTCGTTGTAAAATACGTGACATGTCGCTATTCAGGTCTGGTGACAAAATTAAGGCTTTTTAAAATATTGAAAAGTGGAATGATTCTGAATGATGTTTAAACGTTTTAGAATTCTTGTCATATGGGTGTGTCTTATATTAGAGTTTCGGTCCTATTTATTTCATTAGTAAACATGTCTTTACCAACCTGCACTATTGTTGTTGTTATACTTATCAACGTCATTTCAATTCCCAAAGCCCTTTGGTAAGGCTTCGGTACGTATAATTATGTCTTTTGGGCTTTGTTGGTGTAATATTCCACGTGTTCCTGCGTCATTGTTTTGACTCTGTCATCTACACCCAGAGACAAGTCGGGAAAATTCAAAATAATCTTCCAAGAAGTCTCAAAATTGCTGAAACCGACATGGGATTTTTCAAAAAATAATTTCTTATTCAGTATTTATTGATGTTTGTAAACTTTCATACATGCGTTACATAACACAGCGTAACATAAACATAATGTTTAACCACGCGATACTAACTAAGACCTTTAATTTGAATTTTTGACCTATCAGATGCTTGAAAATCAAGGATTGCGATTCTCATACTGCACCGTTTTTCTTCAAACTTATACCATTAAAAGCAAAACAAAATTGCCTTTCTGTCAGTGCATTACTTTATTGTAAAGAGTCCTTCGTTCTAGCAGCGTTTTGGTCCCCAGCTGTTAGAAGGCCTCTTACAGCTGGGGACCAAAATGCCGCTGGAAGTAGGGACTCTGTTTAAGAGAATAATGTACCAACAGAAAGGGATTTTTGTTATGCTTTGAATGGAACAAGTTTGAAGAATAACGGTGCAATATGAGACTCGTAATCCTTGATTTTCAAACATCCGGTAGGTTAAAAATTCAAATTAACGGTCCAAGATAACGTTACACAAACCATACATAACAAGTGGAAATTAATATTTTTAAACAAAAAAATCTCAAAGTAACCTACACACGCAACATGGACTTACTTTAGTCAAGTTCAGTAAATATAATTTGTTCCTTCCTTCACTTCACAAGTGTTGTCTGGATCTCTATGTATGTTTTTTCCAAATTTGGAAACATTACATACACAACATGGCTTCAAGATTGAAGCGCATGGCTCAATCAGTTGTGGTTGGAGTAATGCATGGGTTTATTGAATGAAAAATGATGAAACCTATACTAGAGCGCCATGTTGATATGTTTTTCGTTATGTTAACGTTTTCCGTATTTTTGGATGATTGTTGGTCATTTCATTTGTAAAGTATTTTAAAATCTACTAGAACAAACCAATTAAATTAAGGTAGCATTCGCGAATGCAACTGACAACTGACGGATTAACCTATTATTTAAAGGAGATGGTCATAAAACATAATTTAAATTGTCAGCCGGCAGCTGAATTCGCGAATGCTACCCAAGCGTGGCTTATACGTTGGCAAGAATGGATGGTGAACTCAGAACAAACTCAGACTCAAACAAATTTCACGACACTATCCCACTTTATTAAGTTTTGAATACAAGTAATACATTATACTCGTGACTAAGTGTGGGATCACGCTATGATGACGTTAATTCAAATTAAACGTTAAGTAACTGAAACAGATTGTCTTGATTACAGCATCATGATAAACCTTCTAAGACCTGAGGTGAAACAAAAAGATGCTATGAGTATCAGAATGTGATTAGTGTCATCCCGACGCCTAATGACTTGACTGGATGACGTAACTTTATTGCAGTCTTTATTCTCTGAAATTGCGAGTCTTTTTCGAAGTGGCTGTGCACAGGATTTGCCAGGGGGGGGGGGCACTTTTTGAAAAAATCCAGGAGGGATTCACTTTTGACAACTTTGGCCCAAAATGGCCAAAATCCTTTGAGGCCAGGGTGGGGTAGTGGGGGGCTCGAACACTGCGATCCCCCCTGACTACGGGCCCGTGAAGCTACACGTTCTATGAGAACTTGTACGTGAACAAGGAATATCATGACCATAGGGATTACTCTCCTTCTCGATAGTTTTGACTAGGGCATAGGACCTTATTACAACTTTATTCATTTTACCTTTTAATTTAAGCAAATGCTAAGAAGCTGGGAAGGAGAACTTATCGCCAGAAGCCCATAATTCTACACGTTTCCGTACACATTATGATAAAAACGTGTAGCTTAATCTCATTACACGTATACTTATATTACATGTAAAGGTCCTTATTAATGCTAGGAACAGATATATACAAGTATATACAGGATGAGCCAAAAAAGGTAATCCAAACAAATGTTAATAACTCAGTCATTCAGCATTAGGTTTAAGGTTCACTTTTAAGCACGTTTATGTAAAATGGTCATAACATCATGACCATTGGAAATATACCAATGGAACTTATTAAGTTATTAGGATGGAATCGAAGAACATTGAACAAGGTTCAATTGTGCCAAATATGAATGAGTTATTGACATTTGTTTAGGTTCACTCTTAAAAATGAATTACTTGAGTATTTCCCAAGTATTTCCTAAGTATAAAAATTACTTAAAGTTAAATACCTAGTTTTACTTCATTTTACTTAGGTTTAACTTATATTGTCATTTTGAGTTTTTTAATTGCTTAATTATGTAAATGAGTATTACAATTACTACAGTAAGTATTTCAGTTTCTCTCCTTGCATCAGTAAATTCACCATAAATGAATTACTTAAAAATTACTTAAAAATTATTCAGTAGTTCAAGATTATTTAAGTTATTTTTGACTTAAAATGAGTAGTACAATTTCTCAATATAAGGAAATCCAAGTAATAATTTTTAAGAGTGTTACCTTTTTGGCTCACCCTGTAGGGTACGATTTTCTAGATTGATGTCTTTAAAATTACAATACTAATTTAGATAATATCTCAAATTATCTCATATAGCACTAATTAAAGGAACCTATAGACACTCACGTTGATCCTCAAATACACAAATTACAAAACAATCGGAACATCAGTAACTTATCATCAATATAAATCTCTATTCTGTAAATATTACTCTTTGAAACAGTTAATCACATAGTAATATGAACTCTCTAATTTAAACTATAGTCGTTTCAAATAGGATCACATTTCATAATTCATTAAAGCCGACTAAGTGTGTCTACGTAAATCTCAACTATAAATGTTATTCTAAATGATGAATTGGATGTATTTTCTGCGTTTCTAGGTAGATTATAGTCTTGTCACTGAAACAGGCAATTTTGTGTGGCAGTGATAGACAGCGTCAGAAGTGTGCTCCTTTCCCGGCTCTTTTCTAATTTCATCTCGTAATATACCCGCCGAATCGTCCTGAGCTAAGTCTAATTTAAATCGTATATTATGTGACGATTGAAGCTCTTTTGAATCCGCAGAATTGTCTTTTGTATTTCCCGCCGGGGCATGCATGTCCTCTTCGTGTCGTACACTGATCCATGCTGTCGCTTTTTCTTTCTCAATATGCCCATGATCCAAGTCATATTTGACGTTGTCTTTACCAATAGGTTCACATACTTTTACGTCAACGTTTTGAGTAGTGCAGGCACGTTTATCTTGAGCACGCTTTTTCAATCCATACTTGTGTTTTTTCTTCTTTCTGAATTTGTATTTTTTCTTGTTTTTCGTATCAGTCATTTCCGCATCAATTGGTGGCAGAAACGGTCTCGGTAACCCTAGCGTATGAGCGAATTTAGGGAATGGTACATTTTCGTCGAGGTCTTCTGATAACGGTACGGGGGACGCCGTATCTTCCCTATCGGAGAATCCCGGATCGGGGGAAATAGCCGCAACAGGGTTGTTGATTGGAATCGGCGGCAGAAGGTGCTTCACCCGTAGCGAGTCTCCCAACATTGTGATGACATCTGTCCTCGGTGGAGTATAAAATGAGGTCACTACGTTGTCATTGATGGTAGTTTGCCGATTTCCATCGCATATAAAGATGGGATCGATTTTAGTAACCGAGCATGGTGACCCCGGGATACTGGGTGGTATGGAGACATCTGACTGGCTAGCCACCATGTGGTAGTTGTCGCAAATTGTCGTTTTTCTTTCCTCGGTAACGACAATACTGGGGACCTCCTTACAAAACTCAGATTGGAGTTCCCTACTCACGTCACGAGCACTTTTTGAGACGGTATAGCGGAAATCGCTGCTTGTGGTGTCAACCTTTGGGAAGGCACTATTTCCGTACACGGTAGTTACGGTGAAGTCAACGTTTAGATTATACGTACACTGACAAGGACAAACTCGTAGTAATTCATAAAGACTCTGTCTAAATTGTTTATTGAGATACCCATATATAAATGGGTCTAGCACCGATTGCAACCTTGTTATCCAAACAGCAGTTAAAACTAGAATATCAGATGTCGTCCAGTAAGACGTAAACTGTACGTGAAAGAGAACACCTACAAAAGGTCCCCAAAATAGAATGTAGCAAAACACCATCACTAGTAACATTTTCAAAAGTCTTGTCTCCGTTTTTGTAGAATATGGCAAATATTGTGCAACTTTTGGTCTTCGTAAGGCATTCACAACATTCACTCTCCGATGACTGAGCCGAAACGCCCTCCAAACGAAGCAATAAGCCAAACACGTGACCAATAATGGCCCAAATATGGTGATGAGTGAGTAGAATGTGAAGTACATTTGACCTTGAACTTGGTTCGTCCAGTGTTGGTAGCAGACGACACTCTGAGGTACGAGGCATGCGAGTGTATAGGTCAGCAGATAGGGGACGCAGACTATTGTAGAATGGAGCCAAATGTAAAGAACTATAAGGCGACCGCGAAATAAGGTGATTTTCCTCTCTAGTGGATAAACGACAGAGTAGTACCTAAAACAGATTTAACAGTTTTAGACGGACTAATAGAACAAGATGAGTACAATGTACGATTTATAGCGTAGCATTAATTATTGCTATTGACACTATTACGGAGACAGGATATGGGTTATAAAATGACGACAAATGATCGTATATATTGTCTCGTTAAGATCTTATTGCAGAAGTTACATTAATCAACTAGTACTAGTAGGTGGCTGCGGGTAGTATTGTTTTTATGAGTCTACAAAGCTGTAAAACGGAAAATGCAGAGAGGGGGATCTTATGACTTGCAAGATTTATTTTTTCATGAGAAAGCTTACTAATAAATCGCTAAATGAATACGTATTGCTACGTAACAGTGAGATTATGATCATATGAATTGTACCATATTTTTTATAAAATATGAAATAGATCTTGAGAAAAAGGTCAGGCATCCTTATATAGAAATCCCTTAGATATGCCTAACGTTTCTCGATATCCACGCATGGTGATTTTCATACCTGTCAATTGCTATTGCACTGAGAGTAAGAACAGTAGCAGATGTGAAGACCATATTGAGGTATCGGAGAATTTTGCAGCTGACCAATCCGGCGAACCAATGGCCTCCATTGAAGCCGGTGGCAGCGTCCATGGGTACAACGGTGAGGCTAGCGAGGAGATGGGAAACAGCCAGGTTGACCACTAAGGCATGTGTGAAAGTATGCAGCACAGAGCGTCTTCTTACAACCACGATTATGACAACGCTATTCCCTATAGAATAATAAAAACATATGAACCGTTTAATTGCCCACACCTCGGCCATTCTCTCTTTGGATGTGAAATAATACATAGTGGGATTTCAGGCTCAGATACATGGTGCACGATATGAAACGTTTATTTTTGAAGCTGCTGCTTCAAACAGGATGACAATAATGAAATTAACCGTGATTGTCTTAAAATAAATTCAATGACGCGCGTTTCGGCCTACGATGTCTGTTTGTAGGCAATAAATATTACCAATTAATTGCTCAACTGAATCAGTTTATTTAAATCTCATTTCTGATTAATCATCGATCAAAGATACTTTAATCCCGCCGACTTTCCCCACGTAACTCAATAGCTTAATGTCAACGTAGCCATAAATATGTACAGAAGGATTATGCCATATAACAAATGAACGCATCCGTGATACTGGTCGTTACACATATCCCATTTAATAAAAACAACTGTCCTCGAACTTAGAGCTTAAATAAGATAATTGTTTTTCGTGCTGAATGTATTGAACGTCAGTGTTCAGAACTTCAGTTTCTCAATCAAGATTAACCTATTTATTGACACGGATGAGAATTACATACGACACGTCCCTGGATTAAAAAGGAAAAACCCGCGATGGAAATTTCACGGATTTACTGCTCACTTTGCCGTAAATTAATCACATATAATTCTTTGAGAATTTAGAGATTTTAGTATTTCTATTTTAATATCACCTTTGAAATTGTATCAGTGAAAGCATATTATAAATGTTGTTTACATTTGTTGTCTTAAAAATCTGAATTAATCCATGCAATTTTCGTTACACCATATGTCGGATATTCTTGAATCTGAAAAACTGTTTAGAAGATGAATCAGGAAAACAAGCCTTGACATACCTATAGCTGCGATTGAACCGAATATTAGGAGTATACAAGAAGAAGCAATCATATATGCCGCTATCTCTTCATTCTCAGGTATCGTATGATTAGTAATCACAACATCTGCAATCCCTCCGCACCCTCGGGGAATGTCGTCTTTATCAGTCCAAAGAGTCCATGACACAGTGGAAGCCGCCAAGTCGTCATCTTCGTGCATGATTTCTGTTTCCACGTCCCGCATTGTCTCAACCATTGGACATCTCTGCTAGAACTTGCCTAGAATTGAGTGAGATATTATCATCTCCATATTCATATATAGGTCTAAGCAGCGATGAGTTGCGCAGTGCCAATGCGTAATAAGATCGTATAATTTAATCCTATCTTATCTAAGCTAATTAATATCCAAGCTAATTACTATTGTCGCAAAATAACACAATACGGTGGGTCTTGTGCTCTCTCGTTTCGAGTCATAGCTCAGTTACGTTTCCAATCAATTCTGCCAAGTAAAACGAACCATTCGCTTGAGTCAGATATCACCATAGTAACGGTGAAAGATGATGGGATTATTTTCTTCCGTTCTTTAGAAAAGTGTCATCCATGTATCACAATCATTGAGTTTTGTTACTCGTAGCTTATGATATTAATTTCTCACTTATAGAACAATATTATAAGTACTATAAATAAATCCAGGGTCGCTTTAACATTCTAAAGTAGATTCTCTGAAACACAGAGGCTATTTAATAGTATCTACTACCCCCACTGGCACAGGTCCATAGCCAGGGGGGGGGGGTTAATGGGTTCTCCTCCGCCCCTCAAAACTCATGCAGTTTTTCATCCTGAGCACTTTTTAAGTGATTTTGGCGATTTTGGACCAAAATTGTCAAAGTGAACCTCGCTGGAATTTTTTTAAAAAGTGAACCCCTTCTTGGCAAAAGCTGGCTACGGGCATGTGGCATAAGGACAATTTTCAGTTCTTGCGAATTTGATTTCAATGACGCCAAAAGTATCTGTAATTGGCCTCCAATCTGTCCATGGGGGCTGGATTAATAAGGAGGCCCTCTGAAGGAGGCATCCTATATCTTTCTTAGCTTTTCATTACTTTTCTATCAAAGCATTTTTCTACTTCCAAATAGCTTTGAACTATCTTCTATGCTCCTACTAGGAACCCGGGTTGGACTTAGAGGTAAATTTTTTTTACCTAGGTCAAGGTCAAAACCTAGATCAAATCGAAGCTTTCTCCAAGCCTGACACTACACTTTTCTTAATTTTTGGATAAAGATATATTAGTATTTCATTTAAGGAATAAAGATTGGATATACCGTAGCTTTAGCTTTGTGAATTGCACCAATAAACACAGATAAACAATTGACCAAAATATTCTTATAAGTAAAAGTTTGTTTTATTTTAGAGAATAAATTTGTATGCATGCGATTAACAAATATTCCAATTTTTTGACCACCCTGTATATTCCGGCTCCAACCATCAAAACAAGCTAAAAAAGCCACTGTGAATAAAAAGTTACTCATTCTCACATGGAATTTTGTCATGTTTGTTGAACATTATTTTTGAAGAAATTCAGAAATCATTCTCTTAAATAGCCGAGCAGAATCGCTACTCGTGCAACTGGGGCAGTGAATTCGTACAATCCCCAATCCAATCCGGATAAATTTTAACTTTTGGGATAAATCTTGGATTACTAATCCCATAAAAAATTGGTGAATTCGTACGACAACAATACGAGGATTATGACGGGGAATCCCTAAGATTTATCCAATTTGCATTGGAATTCGGATAAAATTCATCCAAAAAGTAATCCACCTCAAGAGGTGGATTGAGATTTATTCTGAGATTAATCCCAGGATCGTACGAATTCACCGATTTTTGGATTAATTCTAGGATTAATCCCACAATGCATCATTACCATGACGAAATAGACTAGATGCAAGTAGAAATATATTTTCTTGTATTGGACAGATAACATTTTCTTTTACTGGACATATTTTAATTTTCATAACTATTAAATACAGGGTTATCGTGAAAATTGAACCACTAAAACAGATGTAGTTTAAGTTAAAAGGAACTTTTTACAATACCCACCATGCTATCTGAACAAGCCACCTGGTGGTGAAACTGGTAACTACTTACTCGCATAGATCTGCGTTATTTATCCGGATCGGATCGCGGATCGTTTGAATTCACTGCCCCTGCTGGACTTCCGACTTTTGCGGTCATTAGCCGATGTCTATGTGACGTTTGTCAGTGTATTGGCTACTCGGATGCCATAAGAAGTTTGAGAGTAGTCACGCAATGTTGTAATTTGAACCGGATGCATGATAGGTGTATTTTCGTCTCGCTAATGTCTATAATCGTAAAAGCAATAAAAGAGGACTTGGGTCTAGAAGTAAATTAGAAACGCCAAGAGATAAAGTAACAATCTTGACGAGTGTGTGACGCGAAAAAAAGATTTGTTTACTTAATTTGGAGATCGATCAAGTTAATATTATCAACTTTATTATCCGGGTCATTTTTCTAATTTCTCAAAGTTTGACTCATATAATATGAATATTTTTATTTGCTAAAATGCTCACATTGCTGCAGTAAATGCTCTATATTATTAGTAAAAAGGTCAATTTAATATTTCTAACTCGCATCAAATTCGGATAGGTCAGTACTAAGACTCAAAATCAAAAAAGTCGGCTAACTTCATGGACCTTCCTATTAAAGCTTTAGTATTTCTTTTTCCAAACTAATCGGATCCATTGCTTTACTTTGAAAGTTTCTAAAATAAATCTAAAATATATTATTTTTTCGTCTTGAACACGCGTTATTAGGGAAAATGGAGGATTTTAATGGGGTAAACAGCTATTTATGAACTGCAGCCTTTTTGAATATGGGTAAGGAAAAATAAGCAGTCTAAATTGTTAAAGGCTTGAATGATCAAAAGAAAAGAGCCGACGTTTTTTTTAAAATTTAAGATGCAAAGCGTAGGCAAATAGACGATCTCTTTTGCTAACTGCCATTTCACTTGCTTAACATTCAGACATTGTAACCATACAGCCGCCATTGTAAACATTCATAATTCAATTTCTCGTTTGGAAGGATTGGGTGGCCCTAAAAAGGGCCGTTGTTTGTGGGTTTTATGCCGATGTTTATCGAGAGCTGGTGTATTTGGTGACAGCTTTTGTACCTTCGCTGACGGCGTGCTTAGCGAGCTCACCGGGCAACAAGAGACGAACAGCAGTCTGGACTTCTCTGCTAGAGATGGTAGAACGTCTGTTGTACTGAGCGAGACGGGAGGCTTCACCGGCAATACGCTCGAACACATCGTTGACGAAGCTGTTCATGATGCTCATTCCTCTGCTGGAAATGCCAGTGTCGGGGTGCACCTGCTTCAAGACTTTGTAGATGTAGATGCCATAGGATTCCCTCCTCCTCCTTCGGCGCTTTTGTGCGGGTCTGCGCCCTCTCTTGGCACCTTTCTTGCTTGGAGATCCCTTCCTTGGAGTTTTAGCAGCCATTGTGCAATCAGTGAATGGTCAATGAATGATGTCCAAGTTGTAGAGACCTCCTATTTATGTGCCAAAATATGCAAATGAGTGGATTCAGAATGTATCGTCTTTGATTGGTTTAAAAGACACGGACTTAAAAGTGCAAGATAATTTTGCCGCCAAAACCTAAGCACGCGGACCTGACAGAAAATAGTGACTTGCGGACTTGAAGGAAAGTAACTGACGCGGACGTAAAAGAAAATAAATTACTGAAATCTCATTGGTTATTTCAATTTGCAATCTCAATCCACCCAACGAGTATAAATATAAAGATCGATTGATTAATTCTCATCTTATCTTCTAATTTCTAAAATCGAGTGAACGTTAGAAAAATACTACCATGTCTGGACGAGGAAAGGGCAAAGGAAAGCGAAGAGGTGCGAAGAGCAGGTCTAGCCGCGCTGGTCTACAGTTCCCGGTCGGTCGCGTTCACCGTCTCCTTCGCAAAGGGAATTTCGCAAGACGTGTCGGTGCTGGTGCTCCAGTCTATCTAGCTGCCGTGATGGAATATCTCGCTGCTGAGGTTCTCGAGCTTGCAGGCAACGCTGCACGTGACAACAAACGTAGCAGGATTATCCCAAGACATCTGTCTCTTGCTGTCCGCAACGACGAGGAACTGAACCGTCTTTTCGGGGGTGTCACCATTGCCCAAGGCGGTGTGCTGCCCAACATCCAAGCTGTGCTTCTCCCAAAGAGAAAGAAGTAGACTAATGTCAAGTTTCCAAAAATAACAAACCAACGGCCCTTTTTAGGGCCACCCATTTCTTCCAAAAGAGAAATTGCAATTATGGAATTTTCTATACAATATCGATCAATAATATTAAACAAATTCCCCGTCCATAATGTGTAATGTCATGAATGTGTGCTAACACTGCTAAGTCGTGTGTGTGTACTGTGTTTCTTGGAATACGATCCATGCGTTTTTGATAGGCCTAGACTAGTGCCCGACCGTCGAAGTGTCGGATAGAACCGCGTTATACCGAACGTGATCATACCGACGGCGCGCATTGTACCGAAACGTTTTCCTGCATGCGTGTAAACAAAAAAATATATATAAATATTTTTTTCTATTAAATTGTTGTCAATCAGTCAAAAATAATAAAGGACTGTGTTTTTTACAGAATGTTTTCAATAATTGGTTTAAGAGAAAAATATTGTTGAATTCAGTTCACCATATCGATACTAATCCTTTCAACATGTCAAATGTTTGGCAATTTTGACTCAGAATGCCTTGGAATGGTTTGAAAATAAAGATTTTACCCGATGCTTTCTTCGTCAAGATCATTCCATAATGGACTCTATTCTATCAATAGTTGTTAAAAGCCGCAAATAACGATAGGAATTAACAAAAACTAGATCGTGTTTAGCAATAATTATTCAAATTCTCAAATCGGAAGCGATGATCAACTTTCATGGTATTTAGTTTTTGGAGGGGGGGGGGGGGGGGTCAGAGTCAAAACTAGATTTATCTAGTTTCCGATCCGACATCGAACTTTTGATGCCTCCCCTAAAGGCTATCAAACTTGTACAGGTCTGTTTATAATCAAAAGTAAGGGTGGTATTGGCTTGTTGAAATCACTGCTTATCTCCTTAGATGTCCCTTTTGGTAAAGTGACCTCCAAAACTTAGTGAACAACTTACTGGTCCTTGTTCATGGTGATAGCACGTCACCAGTCACCTTCGAACCAAAAAGGACTGATGATTCCATTTCCTCATTGCCACCCAGGCAGTGCATTGTTCAGAATACAATGGATGCTGTAACACTTCATCAGGAGGATGTAAGCCCCAGTAGCAACAAACTTGTCCATTCAGAAAGACATGGTGTGTAGGAGGATCATCAACAACTTTGTTCGCCGGATTGAATTGTGCATAGAGAGGAGAGGTGCACATTTGGGGCATGTTTTGTAAGGAGCTATAGTTTTTGACTCAATTGGTAGATTATTATCAAACTTTTACAACTAAATTCACATTGAATGAACTAAATAATTCTGAGATTTCAAGGCAAAATATGCAAAATTGACCGAGTTATTCAACTTTCTTACGGTCCTGTTTTTTTGGACACCCTGTATCTTCATTAGGTTAAAGAAAGATGGATCGTGTACATGTGTAGGCCAGTTCGATCATATTCACAATTAACAAATGGGTGGTAGTAGCCATTATAGGTTATTGTTAATGAACTCCTCGTGGCTTCTACATTATTTCAGTAAGGAAGGTTAATTATAAGTAAGTAAGTTAATAGTAACACAACATTAAATTGTCTTCCTATTTCCTAATGTAGTTTAATTTAGTTATTTTAGTTAATTTAGTTATAATGTAGCTATTTCTTCCTATCAAAGTGTTACGTAGATGCGCGAAAAGACGACTGCGCATCCCGATAGGTGTCGAAATTTATCGGAAGACTCTATTTAAGAAATATAGACCGAAGAGCAGGGGTAATATTGTCAAATACACCCCGCAGGGCTAGGCACAAACGCTTTCTGTACCCCGAACGACCGAAGGGAGTAAGCCTAGCCCTAAGGGATGTATTCGACGATATTACACCTGCTCTGAGGTCTATATTACGATTCGAACATGAAAATTCACCAAAATGTTTCGAATATTCAGTTTTGTCCGCCATTACTACGTTATGACGTCACACATTACACGTATTACCAGGGGTTTTGTTCGCGAATATACCCCGGGTGGAATGTTGACTTTGTTTACAGTTTATAGAAGGCGTGAATACAGTCATGTTCGAATCTGATTTATTCCTCGAACAATCATACATGGTGCATCTTGGAATGGAATAGAGTAAACATGTTTTGATCGATGAGATTCGTACTCCTTGGATTGGCCGTAGTTTTACTTAAACTCCTTTATAAAAACATGCTTGGCGAAAGTGGAGACCCTTGAATTTTTCCAGTAATTGTTTTTAAGTGCTCCAGAAGACTCGCGTTTGTTCATATACTTATCAGAAATCTATATGTTTGTATAATGCGGTCGATACAGTGATAGTTGTGAGACGCATCATTGGAAAGCTAGAAAGGACGCCACCTAAATAAGTGAAGTTAGATCGTCAAGCCTAATGCCATTGAACTCTGTCATAAAACGTTGACAAAATAATTAGCTAGTGTTATAATTACAAGTGGAAGTTGTTTTGTAGTAAAATGCGGTCGACAATGTCGTTCAACCTCGTTACTCTTAATGCAAAGAACGGGAACAATCAACGTGTTCCTATATTAATTACCGGCTAAAAGCCTAAAACGTAGGCCGGTAAATTAATATGTTATAACATTCCAATTACCGCATGGTGATGGGAACGTAAGAGAGTGAGGCCAATTATGTCACTTACTTTTTTTAGCCAAAATGTCAAAAATGTGTCAACGTTTTTTACAACATTAACATTCCATGACATGGCATTTTTTCTCAAACCATTCACTTTTTTGTTACATAACATGATTATGCCTTGATCTGTAAACGGTTCTTTATGCTCAAAAATATGATTTTGTTGTAAACGGTTCTTTATGCTCAAAAATATGATTTTGTTGAATACATCAAGTGTATACAACAAAATCATATTTTTGATTGACGAGAGCCTCTCCAAGCCTCAGCCACATTTGCTCTACGGCGGCCGTACGCCGATCGTAACTTCACAAAATCGATATAGAAATCGTAGGGGTCCGCGATTTATACCGAAACCCATTATACCGATGCGCATTGTACCGAAAGGCGTTATACCGAATGTCATCATACCGACGCGCATTGTACCGAAACGTTTTCCTGCGTGTAACTGTATGCTTGTAATCTTTAAGAGACATGCAAGCGTAAAGTATATAATTGGTAGACAAATTAGCGCACACATATTTAAATTAAAGCTCAATTGGAGTAAAATACATGCAAACAGATCGCCTAAAATTACATTCGTATGATGCAAGACTCGACATTCACCAGGAAAGTAGAAACATTTTTTTCGCCCATGAAGCAGATTAGTTTTTTACCGCTTGATAAATGATGAATGTCAGTCATATTAAGTTCTTCAAGTATGAGTAAAAAGTAAGTAAAAAATTAATTTGCTTCACGGGTTACAAAATGTTTCTACTTTCCTGGGGAATGTCGAGTCTCGCATCATCAGGCGATCTGTCTGCATGGGGTGAGCTTATCCCTATAACTTATGCTGCATATTTCTTTCGATTTCGGGAGGATACGGCCGCCGTACAGTTGCCGTAGATCAAATGTAACTGAGGCATAACGTCCAGGAGAGGTTATATCTATTCGAATAACATACATGCTACCGACTCGTTACAAATGCAATGCCCATTTTGTAATTTTCTTGTTCAAATAAGTTTAGCTCGATGCTATGATAGCAAACCTTGGCCTTTATTTGATTACGATGCAATACAATGTATTTACTATAAAACACTAAAACAGATTACTTCATTGTTTCTGCTGTATTGATCTATATGCCAGTGCTAGAAACAACTCAGGAGGCCTACAGATGTAAATGAATTTCTCGTTTCTACTTATGAACGTTTAGAATTGATTAGTTTAAGGGCATTCTGGGTAAGTGTTAAGATGGCCATTTTTGGATTTTCCGTCCTAAAATCTTGTCTGTTGAGGCTTGTATATTGATTACCCTGACATTGTTAGGGATGTTTTTGGTATAAGTAGAAGTCTACAACTGTTTAGTTTTAGGGTATTCTATGTTAAAGGTGCAACAATTAGTGCAGGGGGACCATTCAGCGATCATCGACCAGTGTCAACATATATTTAAGTTTGGAAATTTCATCAAGACTAACATATATTTTTATTATCTACAAAGAAACCCCCTAGATGAACATTATTTCAGCTGATATTCCTCTTATAACGAGGTGGATCTCAAAAATCTATAAGTGGGACTCCCTTTGTAGAAGCTTTGAACTGAATTTACACTTCTTAATGCTGAAATGGATAGTTTATCCATACATTTTAAGAAAATAGAGGTGGGTCAAAGAAGATGTTAAGCTAAATATTGACCTGATATCTCTGAAAAATAGAAAATTTCGAATTTTCTCTCTACAGTCCTTGTTGCCCCTTTTATCAAGGGCCTCCATTTGGACTTTCCGTCCCGAAAACTGTCTACTTTAATCCTATCCGAGGGTGCGATTCTGTTCACAGTATTGCATCTTACCTGATTTCCTAATTATATTATTAATAATAGAGATTAATGTCGATGAGCAACAGGTAAATTTTAGTTGTGTTATGATCTGTTTATGGATCTAATTTAATTTCACCTGTTAATATATTTTCTCCAAACCGGAAGAAATAAAAAACATCATCAGCACAGTTGCACTACAATTTGAAACAATTCCGCATTGCAAACAAACCACGTTTTTTCAAATGATTGTAATTCCCGAACATGACAGTTAGTAGTTACTGAACCACAAGTGCCGGATTTCCTTAACTTGATTCGTGCAATTAGACTTATTACATCCATGATGCATATTTATTTGTTCATTTATTTACTTACTTATTTATTTATTATGAAGTGTTAATTTTGTGTGTTGTTATATATACTGTTTTCTGTTGTATTGATATATTGTAAAATTAGTGTTTACTTTGTGTACACTTAACCTTTTATGGGTATGAATGTGTAATAAAGTTCATAAATCTAATCTAAATCTGCAAATGACGGCACAATAAGTCTTGGAATTAGGGGCACAACATGTGACCAACTAGATGCGAGCAAGA